CCACATCAAATAGGTCCTGAGAGGACGAGGTCAACGACCTCGATGCAGACAAAACTGATTGCTTTTTCACTCATGTCTTGCCTGCTCAGGGTGTGTGGCCATTGAGTTGATAGTCATAAGGTCCAAAGGGGAGCATTTCTTGGAGAATTTTGTGGCATGCTCACTGTTGAACTTGATGGGTTTCTTTGGGGGGTTTTGAGGCATAGAACGTGTCTGATCTCCCCAATAATGTGTCTGATCTCCCCAATAACGCGTTGTGAATACTCAACAGCGTTGTGGTCATGGGAATCACACATGATCAGTTTATTTTACTACGGTTTGATGGGTGCGACTAAAAGCAGACTCCATATGAGGGAGATCAACTATCATCACCCTCATCATAGGAGTTGCCTATGGGAGACTACAAAACATACTTGAATATGAAGTATATACAATGTAAAAAAGTACATTGATAATCTAAGCTGAGATTATGACAGATAATGATGGGGGAGATGTGTCACGAAAGTGGGCATATTGACAATGTGCCAAATGTGGGCAAGGAGAGGGGTGTGCTGGAAATAGAGGGAAAGCCAGGCAAGGGGGTGCCGGCCCAGGAATCCCATACTGGGATCTGGTTAGTAAGTCCAGCTGCAGGCTGCGAAAAAAAGGACACCTTGGGCAAAGGGTCTTTTATCATCAAATTGAGTACCTTGTAGCATAATGTAATAACTAAGAATGTACTGGGAGGACTACAGCTCCAATAGAAGCCATAAAGCACCAGAGATGTAAGGTATTCATTAGTTTCCTGCCATATTTGGGCCATCAATGTCAAATTACATTGCACACTCCACATCCTCATTACCAGCAAACTACTTTGCCGTGGACTGACAACATGAACAATATTCAAAATATACAGTACATCTTACATGACAAGGTTGGGGAAGACTGGATACAAGATGATTTCACTCCTGTGCGAAAGTCCAGCATGCGCCGTGAGTCTATGAATACCTTTGGATTGATGACCAGACACACTTACTTTTTATGCTTAGTGTTGCTGAAGTTCAGTTCAGTCCAGTTCTTCACCTCTTTTTGAGAACTGAGAGCTGAACTGATGACCTCCAGGCAGAACTGAGAACCTGGTGGTAAGAACTGTTCTTCCCTGTCCAGTTCTGTTCAGTTCTCGGTTCAAACTGCCGAACTGTCAAAAATTCTGCAGGAAGCTGGTATGTACCACCACCTAAAGGTTTTGCGACTGCTTACTGCGACAGTGCACCGCAAGTTGTTGAACATCAACACAGTACATCTTGGAGTGCATTGTGGACATCGCTGGAGAACGAGCAGCTAAAAAATTGTTTGTTTGTTTGTGCATTACAAGTGCATTACTATCTCTCCACCAATTACACCTTTTGGTGAAATTGTCTGTAGCTCACCAGGAAGCGGCAAATTGACTTACTGGTATGGCCCCAAACACCAACTCTTCACTGCCCTCTCCCAGCCCATATCCGTCATCAATGTTTAATGTTTAATGTTCAACCTTGACTGCACCAACGACAACATATCCTACCCATGCACCCTTCCCACCCCATTTCGCCGCCTTGAACATGGCCATGATATCATTAGTTGAAGACAACTACAGCTTCAACAGATTCAAAACTCTCGTAGTCGAGGTACCCAATCCCCCTCTCCTTCTCAAACAATCCTACTCACTCCCAGCCTCAGGACAAAACCTAATCTCACCCATGTCATCGACCCTGCAACAAGGTACTTACAACCACGTCCCTCCTCCCCCTCAAACGCACCCTCTGGTACTCTCAACGACACCGCTGCACCTTCATCCATCTGTGCAAACACATACGCACTCTTCTCCAGCACTGTGGGGGAGATGAAGGACTCAGAGATACGAAGCAACATTAGGGATGTCCAGGAATGGTAGCTTGATGTGAAAGAGGTGGGATGTGTTTGAGAGGGAGTGGAGAAAGGAGGGTGAGGCGGTTCATGCTAGGATATGAAGAGGAATGGAGGAGATGTTGGAATGGATGTTTGATGATTTTTCGGTTGGGCATGTATGTGTGGTGGTCGTACTGTGTATCAGAAGTGTTGATGCTGACAGCTTTGTGTACAGCAGCCCTAGTCGATTGGGTGACGATGTTGGCATCTATCAATGTGGAGGTGTAAGAAAAGGTCAGTCACAATCATTTCAGATTACTCCATGCTCACTACTTACAATGTCTGTCAATGAATTCAGATTTGTGTACACTGACCTACATTAAGTTGTAGGTTCTGATGCCATTGTAAATGACATTGACGCTATAAGAAAATGGTAAGTCAGCAGTTCAATGCACTAATGAACTTTGCAAAGCCTCATCGACAGACAACGGTGATCCTTAGGCAGGACACACAACAAACGAGCTTTGGTACATCTAGGGGTAAATACTTTGTAGTGAACAACATGATGTACTTTCTTCCATTGTCTCCAGAACAACTCCAGAATCATTATATTTTACCAATGCTTACTAATGAGATGAGAGAAGAATTGGTGTACCCTGAGGTTAGGAAGGTTGAGAATAAGAAACCAAAACTTCAAAAACACTCACCAACACACCTCTTATTCAATGTTTCTTGGCCAATTCTCAAAGAAAAAAATAGATAAAACTTGTATGTTCAGTTCAGTTTGAACTGGTTCAAATACAGTTCTTCAAATTTCTCTCATGCCCGAACTGCGAACTAGAACCAACCACTCGAGCCTGGACCAGAACTGGAACTGTAACCAAACTGTCTGTTCGGTTCTGCCAGTTCAGTCTGAACTGATGGTTCGGAACTGAACTTTGGCAACACTATTTATGCTCCAACAGTCTCATAGCAATCCGAACCCTGAAAATGGCAGTGAGAATAATGGTGAAAATAAAAGCAGCATGAAAGTGACATCACATACTGATGAAATGTCTCGTGTTGAGGTTGCAGAGCCACCAGAAGTCAAAAATCCTGAGGACTCAGGGTGGTTAAAGCGCAAACGGGTCCCTGATAAAGGAGAAGACCACAACGTACTTTGTAGAACTTGTGCAAGTGCCCCAGAATTGGGTCTGCATGGCTTGTGTGGCTTCTGGGAGAGGATGCAAGGGGGAAGTGCTCACATGGATGATGTCATATTGCTATTTTTAGACATGTGCCTGATTACATTAGTTAGTTAGTCCCCCTCAAGTCACCTTAACAAAAAAATCGACCCTGGGTCTTTTTTTTCGATGCCGGCACCCCCTTGAAGCCAGGTGCCGAAATCCATGTAGGGATTGTGGGAGTACTGAATGTGAGGGAAGGGATAGTAGGAACCAGGAAATGATCTAATAGAAAAATGGTAATCAGTAAATGAATCTATTGAATGTAACATACCTTGGTTGAAACAATAGTGAGGGCAGGCAGAGCGATGTGGCATGCCTACTTGTGTTTATGCTTGCAGTTGAACACACCACTTGTGCAAATGGCTGGCTATGGAATCTTGAAAGGTGAGAGAGGGTGGGGATACGGTCATGTGTGCATGTCAGAATACAAAGATTAGGGAATTGGTGTGTGGTGATGGCCACTTGCTCAGGTTGCCCTGTCTTTGTAAATGGGTGCTCAATGATGGTGGGCCCTCTGTGAGCTGGCAGATCAAGGATGGTGGGGACAGGGGCTGAGCAGTGGATGGCGCATGTAAACAACAGCTGCCTGGACCTACCAGCCCATGTCCTGCCTTGCTGCGATGGAACCCAGAATGGGGAGGGGTGGTAGTGAATTAGTGTTTGGAAGTCCGGTCTCATGACTGGAAAAAGACCATAACCAGACCGGACCAAGACCGCAAAAGACCGGACCTGCAGTTACAGTCTTTTATTTTTGAAATGTAAAGACCACAAAAAAACCGGTTAACATGAACCGGTATTGACCGGTTTGGACCAGTCTTTTGTAACTTCTTAAATACCCTTTAAAACGCACCCAAGAACGTACGATTTGGTAAAAAAACGAGAGAGATATGAATTAAAATGTAAATTACTTTTGGGAATAATAGATGTACCAGACTTATTTTATAGAAGCACCAATTCCTAACGGAATTTAACGTTCTTGGGCTCGTTTTGAAGCTATTAGAGATGTTAATAAATCTACCAATTCATAATTTTAAAATATTGGCCTAAAGACCGGTCATAAACCGGTTAAAACCAATGCAGACCGAAACTGGTCTATAGACTGCAAAAGACTGGGGTCTGTGGTCTTTTTGTGGTCCAGTCTGGTCTTTTGACTTCTGGGGAAAAGGCAGACCGGTTACAGTTATGGTTAACACCCCTGGGCATCAAAAAACCGGACCGAACTGGACTTTCAAACACTATAGTGAATGGAGAGGCATGATGGCGACTTTTTTATGTTTGAGGGACAAGTAGGGGGGAGCTGAGAGAAGAAAGAGAGGTAGTGCAGAGTGCTAGCTTGCTTGCAGTGTGGAGATGAGAAGGGGCATGGTATACAGTCATTTGATGCCATGAGATTATGCTTTGAGGTCCAAGATGGTCAATATGATTGGAGCGAGGTGATTTGAGGGCTGTAAGTGTGGTCAGAGGTGGTGGTCAGTCACACTGACCACTGCCTCAGTCATTGCAGTCACTTGGTGCCATGAGGTCATGCTTTCAAGTTTATGTGGTCAAAGTTGCTAAAACAAGGTGATTTCGGGTGGGGAGGGCTGTTTGCATGGTGAAGTTACCCAGAGGCGGCAGTCAGTCATACTGACTGCCACCTTGGTCATTGACTGTGGAAATTTTGTTATATTGGGCAATTCATCAGGAAAAAAAGTGGTTGCGACATAGCACAACATAGTTCTGATAGCTATGGTAGCACTTTTGCAACCCCCCCCCCTTTATATAGCACTCCATAGCATCCATGTCTGTTTATATAATACTATAATTACATATATAGCCTCACCTGCTCATGACATATCCCTCCATAGTATCATAGTACAAAAGTCATGTTTTTATACATGGACAGATATAGACAGCATTGTACAAGGTAGCACAGGTAGAAGCCAATACATATGTATTTCCCCTCCTGTTAATTTACAAACACCGTCTATAAAAGTAGGTAATACTAATCAACAAGCATTATCTGTCTCCAAGCTCTCCTCATACACCTATACAGCAGCTGCAACAGAGACAGGGATGGCAGGGGTGTTCTTGAGACAATACTGTGGTCACGGCTATAATTCACAAAACATGAGGAGAGAAAGGTGGTGTGAGTACAGCAAACACAGACAAGGGAGGATGAAAGCATCTACACATGCTTGAGGGTAGGCACTGCCTGGAGATGAGGAAAAAGGGGGCGTGAGTATGGTGAACATGGATGAAGATGGACAAAAGGATGCACACGCTGGAAACAAGGAAAAAAAGGGGGTAGGAGTAAGTGCAGTGAACACAGATGAGGGAGGATGAAAGCATGAACAGAACAGAGCTGAGCAAACAAAGGGGGCTGTGAGTATGAAGAAAGAACATGGATGAAGGACGAAAGCATGCACTAACAGGAGATGAAGACGACAAAAGTTGGATGAACACACAAACTCTCTAGAAACAAGGAGGGGAAGGGGGTGTGAGTACGACAAACATCGGAAGAATGCAAGTGTGGGGAAAGGGATGGGGGGTGCTCACCTCAGGCCCTTGTGAACCTTTCCCTCCTTACCGTTGGCTATTGTGATGTATGGTGAGTGGGAGGAAGCAGCAAGAGGGGGACCTCTGGGGAAAAGAAGGGGGAGAAAAGACTTGAAGGGGGAAAAAACTCGAACATAGAGGGTACTTGAAGAGCGAGAGAGAGCAGGCTCCAAGGGAGAGAGAAGGTTCACAAAGAATAGGAAAGGCTTGAAGAGCCTTAAAGAGAAGGTTGTAGACCAGAAGAGGGAGAAGTCACAGAGGGACAGAAGCTGCAGGCTCAGAGAAATAAAGAGAGGAGGGAGTCGATCATTCGATGTGGTGGGAAGGAAGAACAATGTGCCAAAAAAATTCAACCTGGTCACATGGCGTCAGAGTTTCAATGGACTTCAACACATCCACTTCCTCACTGGAACCTCTCAGTGCCCCTGGTTCTTTGCAAGGTTGAAGTTGCTGATATGATGGTGGGGATCGCAGTTCTCTCCACATGTGTCAGAAACAATATCAATGTGCAATGCCTCCTTCCCCTCTTTCTCGCCACAACTAACCCTAACCTCTTGCAGTTGGTTGGACACTGCTAGCACTCAGCATAGAATTAGTGAATGCTGGGTTGGGTCTCACAGCCCTCTCCATCCTCTTGTGGCAAATTTTCAGGCTGTGGTATTGCTGTGAGGTACTTTGCAGGTTTCAACTGGCACAAATCCAGTACTGTCCTGACCTCCCTCTTTTCCTATCTTAGGCTCACCCTTTATCTAGTCTTGCCGAACTTCCTTGTGGCATATGTGTATGATCCCTCAACTGATGGCAACATTGAGGATGACACGCATGACACAAGGAAATGGAAGGAAGGCAGCTCAGTCTCATGGAGTTATCATTCTAGATGTCGCAACTCACTTCTATATTAACTCCTACAGAGACATAGATACATTTTCTGTCTTCAAATGTCTGTCACATCAATTTATAATCCTTTGCATCTCAAAAGATTGATTATTTAAGTAAACTGTCTATGACAGCCTTATAGCACTGATAGCCACTGTAGCACGTGGACGGTGGCAGCAGCTACAGACTGAGGATTGATGAGGTGGCACCACTGTCAGCCCTATTGCACAATGCAACAGACCAATGGCCTATAGACAACAACCATGCCAATGACGAAATCAGCCAAGCTATTGATGAGTATGACAGGTACAATCGGCTACTGATCTAACTGGTAATCTATTGGCTAAAACTTTTTTTCCTGATGTTAAATAAAAGAGAATGTTACTTACCTTGAATACCAGGCTCCTTCACTGTTTTTGAGAGACTTAGAGGGGTGAGGCTGGGAGATGGTCAGTGAGAATGGTGGACCTGATCAGCCATTGATCAGCCACGTGATTCATGAGTTATCTAAGCACAGCACATGTGATTCAGTAGTGAAAACTGACCTGTACTGCTTAATATACCATAGAAAAGCATAAAAAATTGTAGACTTGTTTATATATGCATAGAAAGTATACCTGAATTTTTTCAGCACGAGGGTGCAAGTAGAAGGTGCCCCATGAAGTAGTGACATCACTAGTGAATATTTAATAGGTTTCACTACTTTGGTGGCTATGTCATTGCCAAATAGAACCAATTCCAGTTTTGCTGTCTGAGTTTGCACAAGCTGTCCAGCTCATGAAGGCTGCATGAATATCAGCTCAAACCATTCCTTGGTAAGCCAAATCCTCCCCTTTTCCTTCCCTCCTTTTCTTCTTCCTTCCTTATTATTTATTATTTATTTTAAAATTTTGGACACAGGTATGAGTAGTGAGCCCTCCATGGAGTCCAAGTGGTGATCAAGTGAGGCTCATGACAGAAACAAAAAGCAAAGAACTGCAAAGACTGAGTGGCGACATGTGGGAACAGTCCGCAATGAGTAAGCCAAAGGAACGAGGGTGGCATACAGGTCAAGGGGGGAGCACAATTTTAATTTAATATATCATGTTGATTTTTTTCATAAGGCCAGTACTTATGGCTGGACTAACCAACCAGGCATGTGAATAATCTTCCATATATAGGTAAAATCTATAAATAGGTAACATGTTTTGGACATCATTTGGGCATGTCAGCCTTGTCAGCTGCTGTCTTATCCTTCATTTGCTGCCCCTTCCTCTGCTTTTCTCCATGCTCTTATTACATGGGTCACAAACCCACTCATTAATACCATAATCCAGTCCAATGCACAAAAGGTACTGCATGCCCACAATGTCTCACAGCCTTTTTGCCCACAGGTACTTGAGTAATTACTGAGTACTCCCCTTTTGTCCTCCACCTCAACTGCATCTGTACTCTTACCACAATCACAATGCAGATGTCTTGAATATTGTCTGCAATCCTTATCATATACTAGGTTCCTTGAAAGGGATTATCATCCTAAGTGTAAATGCCACATATTTACTGGTTCCGGCAGGGTCATCCTGAGAAATATTCCCCTTGTAAGTGGGGACAGCTTGTGAAACACCTCAGAGAGTGCACCAGTCTAATCTGAGCTCATCTGGCCCATAGATTACCTGAAATTGGCACTTCAAATAAAATTTAATGGCCTGCCAGCCAGACTAACCAACTGACCCCATATGGCAGATTCAAATCCTGCTCCCCCCTTGAAACAGGTTCATCACCTGGTAAAGAAGGTAATAAAAAGCAGATAACCATGTTAAATACTTAGTTCCACATTAGTGTAAAAAATGTTCAGATGAAAAAAATTCATTGTTATTTGAACTTTGCAGCCACAAAAAGGTGATGTCATGTATGTAAAATATCTATTGGTGGTTTGTCAGGAATTATTGAGAAACAAAAGAAATTTTTTCCAGGAAAGGAAGATAAAGAAAGACTCTGTTTTACCTTGGCGACAATGATGAGGCAACTTACCCGATGAGTTTAGATACGAAGAAAATTTGCTATCCAAAAACTTGCTGTGGCACAAAAACTCCCTTTTGGAATCCTTTATTATTTTCTGCGCTCCCACAAAGGCACCGTAGCTCTTCTGTCAAATTTTCGGAAAGGACGATCATCTGATAGGTTTCTGGCAAGCTTTGAGATGGCTATAAAAGTACCAAAAAGCTATGAAGCCTGTGTGAAGCGGTCCCAAATATTGTGGACCTAGATTACGACGTCAGGGTTGGGACGGGAATCTCCCTCAGAGACCCAAAAAAAAATCGCGATTGGAGCAAGAAAAACGATTCGTGCACTCAACGCCCATTGCGCTTGTGCTCCCGCTAAAATAATCACCAAAGTGGGTTATGAATACAACTAATGCCCAAGACTTAGACCTATCAATTAATAAGTACATCGTTTGATCATTTTACAAATGGTATGTCGACTGTTTAATATCCTAGGAAGTTCAGCAAAAATGGAGACTTGTATTCGAAGCGCAAAGCAGTTGAGAGAGGAATGCGTCACTGGTCTGCCGATGTGCGTGATTCATGTGTGTCTTGCTTTGGGTTTTGTTCTGAAATCCCCTATGGAGAATAGTTCAAAAAGTTTTCTGTAAGCAGGAAGACCTCCATCTCGCTCATGACCCCCCCATCCAAACATGGCAGCGATCTGATGAACCTAACAATACCGTCTCGCGGAAGGGTAGACACAGAGTGAAGAAACTGCGCATTTCGACACCCATACGTTAAGAAACGCTCAAGGAAGTGTGTCATTGGGGGAACGCAGTTGTTTAGAAAAATTTCAACGGCTTCGACGTCCTGGTTTCTGGCGAGAGAAGATCGACTTGGAGCAGCGGAACGATCAGTGTTGCGACGTTGGGAGCTGGCGCGCGAGCTCGAGCCTTCAGAGGCACGTGCGTAGCTCGATTTAGATTTGGTGGCCACCATAGCCAAACCTTGAGCCAATGATATCAAAAAAAGAATCTCTGACGATGCGAATAAAATGCTCACTTGAAGGTGCAACGATAGGCATCAAAGGAGTTTGTCTGGAGCGTAGTGGGGCCTTGCGTGTGCGGGGATTTTTCGTGTCCTAGAAGCTTTTGGTTGAAAGGTGTGCAAAAGAGAAAAAAACCTCTTACTACTGGCTCGACAAATTCAACTTCGCTTTCCTTTTCATCATCTTCGTCATCGCCCTCAGACATACCACCACTTAAATCTTCAATCAACCGACCCCTGGCCTTCGAATAAGTCCTGGCACTGGAATGGACACGCATGATGTAAGACTTGACCAATCTTCTCAATTCGGACCCAGAATTTCCTTCGAATATGTTTGAGTATTCCTCCTCAAGCTGTCCGTCGTAATGTCAATGGAAGCATTGCATACATGATAGTTTGCCTCACCATATTTTGCACATTCTGAATGGCATGTGGCTGGGAACACGTAGTTTGAGTGAGGCGAAACTCTTCTCTTGTGTAGCGTCTTAGCTTTTCCTAATGTTCGCAGGGAATGAGGGATAGGGAGATCAAGAGAACAGGACCTTATAATGACTCACAAAGACGTCGTACACATCGTACCCTTTGGCTTTAACGGCGTCCCGCAATTTTGAATCCTAGTGATATGTTAGATACTCTTCGCGATGCTTAAAAATGATTTCTCCTACGGTGAAATATGTCTGCTTCATGACTGTAGATCCTGAATGACACGTGAGGAAGGGCTAATAAGAGTGTCATCAACGACTCACGACCCATTGAAAAATCGGTGCTTATTTTGAGACGATGAAGGGCATTGTGGGGGGAAGAAGGCCGGCTGGGGAGTATAGGTCCGTTTTATATTCCTGAATGAACAAGAATTAAACTCTGCTGATGGGAACAACAATTTCTTTCCGAATTTCTTGGAATGCTTCTTTGTCAACCTAGTCATATAGACTCTTGACAAATGTGGAGATATTCCGCCGTCGACTATTCCTGTAGGAGGAATCCCCGCCTTGCCTTCAAGTTATTCTGTCGAGGCAAGTGGTTTGAACCAAAACAGGACCAGCCATGGAAGGCCAGAGAGCAACCAGAGCACCTCAGAAAGAACAGGCCTGCAGGAAGACGCCTAAGCGCAGCCTCTGCAGATCGAGAATTGCGGAGTTGACGGGTGAGTTTACCAAAAATATCCTTCGGGGATCCGCAGGTGGAACTCGAGTATCAGCAGATATATGTGCAAATGCGCACCAGAACCAACCAGAAAGCGAAATTAAGAGGAAGAACGTTGTCGTCGAGGGGTGTCGATACAGTCGCGCTACATGCTGGTCTCAATACATCAGGACTCTCGAGGAAAGTCGAAGTCGAGGCCAAGTTCAAGTTAGCACGAGGACATGATTTGATCGGTTGCAGTTACAACTGTAACATATTCAATTCATAACGTTTGACGTCCACCTGGACAACATAACGAACGACAGCTCAGGCCGCACTCAGTGCGTGCTGTAGGCGTCCATAAGATGCCCCAAACACTCAAACTTGACGAAGAGTTGCTGGAGGAGGACATTGGCACACTCAGTCCATACCCCTCAATGGCGTCGGCATCCAGCTCTCGAGCCAGTTCAGCAACAATCTCCAGCACGACAGTGTCTCAATTGCCGGAGGACCTCGACATCCACCTAATGATGCATCAGAACTCGACAAGGAGACAAAGTTTTGGCCCTTTAGCGTCACCGTCGTCCCCTACGCTTTCTCTTCCAAGTGACGTTAGGCCCAAGCAACTTTCGCGTTCGCACACCCTCCCTCATGGGTTCCGTAACATTGAGAAGAGTCCGAGAAAGAGACAGGTGGAAATTGAGAAACTTGTCGTTGATGAGGAACTCGTCAAGAAGATGCAGAGGTGGATGCTAGGCATTGCGGCTGGTGAGTTGTATTGTTATTATTGGCGATTCATAAGCTCTGGTCTGATCATCTTCCCTCAGTGCAATTTGATTTGGAGGATGGTCCAGTGATAGATGGAATCTATCCACCTGTCAAGCTTTCGCCAGCTGAAAGAGAAAATATGTCAGTTTGCGTTTGGCCTCCTAGATGCCCTCAATGTTGACCATTTCCGATACAGCGCTTTCAGTGCATTCCCAGATTCCTTTCAATTTGACCAGGGCTCACAAAATCATTCATTCCGAATACGTGAGGAGCTGAAAGATTTAGCGAACAGACGGTGTCCTCTGTCAGTTGATGGGTTTATTTATGGCTTTGCCCATTTTACGCAGCGGAGGGATCCCACGTCGAAGCGAGGTTATTACCAGGTATGACCTTGTCCCTCTGCCTAAACAACTCGGACTTACCTTGCACTAGTCTTCGATTGTGATCCTGACGTACCATCCATATCCCGCCCTGTTTTCTGCGTTAGCCTCCATCCTCGGACCGCTGTTTCAATCGCATGAAATCCCGATGCTAGAATCAGCTTGCTATAACATTGCGACATGGTATATATGTTTGAAAACCCTTTATAACGAAGTTATTGACGCTTGTCCGCAAAGGAAGGCGGGACCCAACTCCAGGAGAGACTCTGGAGCTTGGCTTCCTTGGTACGGTTTTACACGTAGAGATTCCACATTCAGTGGACACTCAACAACTGACGGAGACATCTTCATTTAACGAGAAATACAATCCGAAGCGTCATGTTGGTGTTTTAGTGGTCTTTGAAGGATTCTGTTGCTGATAATTTTGTTAGATCTTGGCTACAACAACACCTTTTTTACCCCCTCCATTGCTTCTTTTTGAGGCATCTCTCTCAAATCTGTGGTCAATATGGGAATGTCTCGTTTTATGCGAGCCCATCCTGATTTTTGGGGCATCTCCGGCCCAGACAAGTCAGGCCATTTGGTGGTTGAGGGATCTGCTGCGTCCAGTGAAATTCTTCGTTGTAACTTTATTCAACGAGATCTGATCTTCTTTCATCACAGATACCCGTAGCGGGCGATTTTCGGCCCTACTTCACAATGCAGGATGGCGACCTTTCCTTGCTGGTTAACAAGTTGCCCCCCAAGGCTGGATTAATCCTTGGGGTAACTAACCCCTTCTTCGAGAAATCATGTGCCCATTGGCCGCACGTTCTAAGCTTGGGGCGACGTTCGATGTACGTCTAATACACTCAACCGTAACAGGCCTTGCTGAGCAATTCAATAGTCCAACGAGTGCCAGTTTCAAAACTCCATCATTAGATTCTTCGGCGGGACCTGCTCCTGGATGGAAGACTAGGACACATAAACGATATATATCCAAGGACCGCGTCCTGCTCAAACAGCTCGAGCATGCATGTCGGGGAGATGACCGTAGTCGTAAGTGCTCACTTTTTACGTCCTTGTCGTTGGTAACAAATGGCTTGACAGGATTAATGGCTTCTCTGGCACTCCGACGTCACTTTTGCTCTCGCACAACGCAACTAATCACGCCTCTTGCAAGATACCTCAATAGCCTGATACCCTCACCCACCGAAGTCAGCCGTGCACGGACCTCGACCAATATCCTTCGGTTGAAACCTTTTAACTCAGCCAACTTCTTTGCGTCTCTAAAAGCGCATGGGAGCACTCTTCCTTTCAAATCTACGGGCAAGCGTACTGAATTTTATGAACGGTAAGTATGGCTATCCATGTCAACCTTGGGGGGTACTAACGTTCCTTATGCATAGGTGGCTCAAGTCGCCTGCTTTTGGGACATGGGTTGCGCAACAAGAACAGATTGTGCAGGACGTATTGAACACTGACGAACCACTTAGCACGTAATAGCATTTAGCCACCTGACAAATAATAACAAATTCTGTGACTATAAAAGTTGCGAGATACAAGTAACACAACAGCTTTCTGTTTTCTCCTCTACGCTCTGCTCTTCGTCTTGTGTACTTATCTCTATTGCTGTTCGTCCCATTCTTTTCGTGTACTTCTCGTACTGAAACTCGTTGAAAAGCTTGTACCAGCCTCTGTAACATACTCCCAATGTAAGAGCTACTTTCTATCGTCTTGGCTAATATTGTGTAGAGCGCGTTGCGGGGGACTTATCAGCGTCATATTTCCCTACCACCATTTGCCTATCTTTCTCATCTTTGTCGTCGATACTCAAATCCTGTGGTCTTTACCTTGCAGAACAAAAAAGAGTTGCACTTTTCAGTCCAGGCGACGCGCCTTTGCTTTTGAGTCACCCGCTCCCAGACACGGACAACTTCACACCCGACTATGAAGAAAGACGACCTTGATCTTTATGGAGAGGAAGAGTTGCGTCATCATAATTCAGAGGTGGGTCCTGTTGGCACACGCGCATATACCCAGCTAACGCTTTCTTCAAAAGTACCAGAGTGGACAAGATCATCGCATGATCATGGATAGCCAACAAGAACAGGTCCAGACGGTCACCTCAAAGGTTGAGCCTGCCACGGGCGACAAACGACCCCGAGAAGACGACGGTTCTGAACAAAAGACCAACGGTACTCCTCCCTCTCAGAACGCCAACCAGTTGAATCAGATGAATGGGATGTACGCCGCCCAAGCCATTGGGCAAGGCGTTGTTGGCGGTCCTGGATATGACTCTTTGTATATTGGCGACTTGCAATGGGTCCGTTTGTCCTGTCGTTTAGTCTCATGTGCATATTGTCCTGAAATTGACTGTCTACCCTTCCCTCCCCTTCCCCCCTTGTTTGATGTCTGATTACAGTGGACTACTGACGAAGATCTGCGACAAGTCGCTTTGAGCGTCGGTCTTACTATCGACCACAAGGACATCACTTTCTCTGAGCACAAAGTGAATGGAAAGAGCAAAGGGTGAGGTTATGCAGAATAGGTATCATTCTTGTACGCTGACTTGGGATGTAGCATTGCATATATTGAATGTCATGATCTTCAAGGAGCTGCAAACTTGAAAGAATGGTTTGACAATAAGTGCGTCCTTCCTAAACGTTTTTATTCCTCAGCTCTGAACGTCTCGGTGTAACAGTGATTTCCAAAGTCGGAGGGCAACAGCAACTTTGACAAACTCATCTCAGGGAAATCCCTTCCGTACACTACCGAAGGGTTTGTGCCATTTTTTACGAGCTCTAAGATTTGAAGGACTGACCATCCTACAGAACCTCCCCCGAGAAACTCTCCGGCGGTCAATCAGCCATCAACCATTCCGGCCGTTGCAGGGCGCAACGGAGGGAACTTCCGTGGCGGACAAAACATCAACCAAGTTAGCCGGGGTGGAGGCATGATGGGTGGGATGCCTGTCATGGGTGGTATGGGAATGGGTGCGATGGGAATGGGCGCAATGGGAATGGGCAATCTAGGCATGGGCATGATGGGAGGCGGCAACTTTATGGGTGGTGGCGGACGTGGAAGTGGCTTCGTCGGGGGACGTGGGGGTATGGTCCCTCAGGGACCACGGGGAGGCGGCGGCATGATGGGTGGCGGCCGCGGAGGCATGATGGGTGGTATGGGTACGAGTTTTTAGTTTCCTCCCCTCCCATTTTTTATAGTCTGTTCGTTGTATGTTGTGCTTACGATCCTGTTTTTTTATGTTTCTTTTCCCTCCCTTCGTTGTGTCCACACCCATTGTGTTGGTTACCGCAATTTTCTAGGTGGAGGCATGATGCCAAATGTCGGTGTGATGGGCGCTGCAAGAGGTGGATTTGGTATGCAAGGCCACTTCAACCCCGCGTTCATGCAAAATGCGCAAGGGGCCGGTGGGGGTGCTGGCCAGCTCAACGCTCCTGATGGACCCAGAAAACGGTATAGGACTGAAGAAAGTGGGTGAGGGGGGCCGTCCTCCAACATTCTTTCGGACCAAACTACGTAACTCTCGTGCACTGCAGCTTTCGATTGATCTTTTCGCTACTATTTTATTGAACAGGGCCACAACTACAACAAAGTATCATACGTACAGGAAGACAGCCGGATTTATTTCGATAATATTAATATACTTATCTGGTGGTGCTCGTATCCCCCCACTCTACATAGATAATGGTCTGAAGACCTATGGTTTCCCCATCTTGGGAGGCCGCTCGGCCAACGCGAGAGCACCATGGTCCATTGCCTCCGATTGTGGCATGGCGAGCAAGTCGTCCCGTCCGCGCGATGGATGTCATGATATGCGTCTTCGTGAGTAGTAAGTGCGGGAAGGCGGTGTAAACTGAAGGCGACGTACATCGAACACAAGTCAAGCATCATCACCAAACGACAGAAGCGTTTTGCTTGGTTTTTTCGCTTTCTTCTTGACAGAGCCTTTCTTGTCCTTGTTGCTGTTGCCTTTTTCTTCTTCTTCAGGCTGTCCGATAGCTTTCCGCTTACCAGTTGATGTCTTGGTCTTGGACGATGATGAGAATGATAGACCCTGTTGCTGGGGCTTCGCCGTTGCGGAATCCTTGGATGGGCCTCCAGGAGGCTGCAGCTTGGCAACGACATCTTGTGGATCGGGTAATGGCGGTAATCCTTTCTCTAAATTCCAGTTATGAGGGTTGGGCAAGGTTAAAACCAGATCAACGTAAACTCACCACTTCGTCTAACGTTCTCCGCCTCACGTTCCGTCAGGTGCTTCCCTTTTCTGAGAACGACAACTTGCGGTTTCTCGTCCCCATCATCTTCATCAGCGCTTCCTGGATCTTCTGCAGGTCGTTCGGGGATGGCAGGACGTTTTGGAATGGGTGGGCGCCCAGAGTCAACATATTCGAATTCGGGATCTTGGTCTTCTTCCTCATCCTCGTCTGGAATTCCTGCAACTCGGTTTTGTAGTTTGAGCAAGAAAGAGGGAGTGTGTTGTTGGTATGATAGTTTTGAGGAAAGTTGGGCGCGGGTTGGCTCTTTGGGCGCCATTTAATTGAGGGGAAGGACAGAGCCTTCGCGTCGCGCTCATGTGACCATGTGGATCAAAATACGAAGACTGCCAAAAAGGTTCACAATTTATTACATATGCCGTCGTCCATGTCAAGCCGCAGAAAAACCCTCTTCTCCTCTAGCCACCGTCAGCCATCCTCCCTTCTTCGTTTTACACGATGCCCCGTAAGTTCTGGCCCAGTGAACACCATCAAACTCTTAGGCGGTACTACTTAACCTACAGGCATCCGCATCCGCAAGGGAATATCAGTAGCGGTGAGCTAATACTTAGACCAGAGATATAATTTGTATTTGAACTCTCCTATAGAAGGAAGACCTTCAGAAGTCACTAGGTCCTAATTGTACTCCGGCCTTCGTCAAGCAGTGGAAGGTCAGTGCACACCCCAAACACACCCATAATCATTCAGAACCTAAGGTGAGATTTTTTACAGGAAACCCTGAGAAACACTCTACGGAAGCATTTCGATTTGGAAAAAGCATACAATGAGCAACCAGAAAACCTGGCCAAATGCCAACAGGAGGTAATAGGTTTGCGGCTAACCACGATCTGATGTTGTTAAATGGTCACTTTTGCAGTTCTGGCTGTTATACCCGGAGCTATTTCTTACGTCAGATAATAACGACCACCGAAGAGCTGTAGCCCGTGTTTACATTCAGAAGATCTTCGCAAACGATAAATGGAAGAACTCGACAAGAAAGGGTGGAGCAGTGTTACCCCCTGACAATGAGCTGGCTCCATCCAGAGTGCGTAGATCTCAAAACGTTGCGACGAATTTAGTAGATAGTGACCTCACCTACTTCAGAGACGTCCGAGGCAATCTACGGTCAGGATAAAGTATATGTATGCCGCGAAAGGCGGTAGCTGATTTACATTTTTTAGCAGGCCAAAAAAGCCGCAAAACCGCCATCCAGTCTAAAGCCGGTCCTTAGAAATCGTCCACGACCTACAAATCCAACTGCATTGGAGAGGACTCCAGCCACCTCCGTGGCGCCTTCCCCACCTCAACGACGTGCTCGACCTTCTGATGCCAACATGCCAGTTTTCGACGAGGAAACCGCCCAAGTGGCCCAGTTCCTCGAAACGTGCACCCCTCCCATGACTCAATTCCTCCCAAGCTTTCTCGGGTTTGGCTGCAAAAATGAGGATTTTTTGCAAGGCGTTAACTTGTTGCCGGATGACGCGGTTGAGTCTTTTTTGAATTCCCTTCCTGCCTGTGGTGAGAGTAAGTTTACGATGATGGATATACTTGTCCTCAAAAACCATTTTCGCGCGTACTTGAAATGACTGACTGCTTTGAAGCAATTTGTACTGAATCATTAAACAATAGTCTCATGTATTCGTTCCTTTTCAATAATTTTGTATGCTGTATATATACTGTATATATGAATGAATATGCTCAGCATCAACGAGTTGCGGGACGATCTGGAGTAAAGGCACCTAGGAGCGACTGGATGGTTGGGCCTGAGAACGAATTTGAGTAGATTGGGTTCGGGATCGTAAACCTCGAAGACCTTGCTCCTCAGGTCTGCAACGCCGGCACGAGGAGTTTACTGTTGTGGTGAGTGGCCCCGAAGTAATGAAGCTCATGATTAGCCTGACTTGCGCTCATTATCGTATGGTCATTTTGAAGAGCTAACCTCGAGAGTCAAGAAAGTACAGCTGATCTCCTGGAAGGCTTGCTGGGCGTCATCATCCTAAAATCCCCATCTTCATCGTCCTCATCAACGTCAGACATCATCCCACCAAAAACACTACCCCCGCCCCCTTTCCTCGGCTCGGGGTTCAGCAGCAGAACATCCGGCGAACTATGCAGTTGCCAGATCTCCTCCGAGTCTTCAAAGGGGTCTTCATCGCCCAACTTCGACCTCGCTGAACCGAACAAGCTTCCAGTCCTAAATGACGACGAAGCAGACCGTCCAGTCGCTTGTCGTTGACTCCCCGTCGGTTGTGAATTCATTTGCAATTGCACTTGAGACTGTGAACAAGACCTCGCGCGCGGCTTAACAGGCGTTTCCTCCACCAAAGTCACACCCATGTCCCTGGAGCTCGTCTTCCCACCTGCCTTCTCCTTCTCCTGCCCAACCGCCAACTCCTTCTTGCTCTCCGTCCGCTGTATCTTCGGCTTGGACTTGAACACCCGTGACATGCTAACCTCGCGGTTTAACACGCGTTTCTTATTGACCCCCACGCTCCCCGCGCGTTCTTTCTCTCTTCTTTCTTGCTCGAGAGATATAGACAGCGAACGAGAGCGAGCAAGCGTAGCCGTTCGTGGCTTGGTTGTATTACTGCGGCCTGAGGCCGTAGAAAGTGCTGGGGAATGCTGTCTGGAAGTAGATGGTGCGCGGGATAGTTTTTGTGGAGGGTTAGCCGTTTCGGGGGAGGCGGATCGTTCAGTGGCGGGGGAAGAAGCGCGGTCTGATAAGGGCTGCGGGAAGACTTTGGATCGGAGGGTGGCACATTGGTCTGGCAATACCGCCTTGTACCTGATTCGAGGCCCAGAGTCAGTTTGGCATGGTTTGCAGGGGGTAAATAAAACATACTGAGGCTCGATAATGTCTTCGCAAAATATTTGCATCCAGTCACATTCCTCCTTTGTATCGCACAACTTGCCTGACAAGTCAAGGGTGGCAACTAACTGCCACATCGACAGTTTGTCCATGAAGACTTCCAGATGGTCTTCCAAGGTAAGAACGGGGACAGCCGGCTGCGGACGAGCAGACCGCTTGCGTTTCTTTGGCGATTCCAAAGGTGGTGGAGGTGGTGGAGCAGGTCCAGGTAATGATAGCTTCAACAGATAGAGAATAATCTGTATCTGTACTCTTCCAACAATTTTAGCTTCGACAACGAAGAAAACGCGTGAAAAACGACTCACTCTCGCCTCTCCATCCGATCCAACCACTTCTTTCGCCACTTATCATCTACCCAAGGTCCATCATCATTGGCTGATGCCCCGGAACGCGTCCAGTCCTCCTCCTCGGCCTTTTCATGCGACACGGCGTACCACATCATCATTTCCTCCATTTCCCCGGCGCCGCCACCGTTCATCAGGATCCTGGGCAGTTCCTCTCGGTATTTCTTCGTCGTAGATCCAGTCGTGAGCAGAAGTGGGTCAAGCAGCGCGTGTAAGGGATGGACAGTCGAGGTAGAAGGTGCGTGCACGCGTCGCAGGGATGGACTGAGAAGGTGTAGAGGCATTATTGACTGTAAAGCGTGTCAGCACCGCAGAACGCGTAGAATGCGGTTGAGAGAACCTCGGGGAGCCATAGGAATTGAAGGTACGTTCGGAAAACGAATTGTTCAGGTGTTTCTTCGTTTCGGTCAAAGGGGAAGTCATTTGAGATGCTTTTCTCTTGAACTGTAGACCAGGTCACCCTTCTGCTTGTTTCTAGTGAGTGAGGAAAGTCTGTGAGGGTTGCCATTTAAGAGTGATCGTGGAGGAGGAAGAACGGCCCGCCACGGCAATTGCCAAATCCTCTTCCTTGAAGGAACCACAACGTAGGTGAGCACAAGAATCATACTTTCTTTGCTTAAAGAAGAGTCTTAACTCGAAAATATCCCTCATCAGGTGGCCAATTGGAAATGAAACGATAAGGTTGGACTTCTTTGTCTGGAAACGGTGACACCTAAACGTGTGGTGCACCTCCCCCTTGAAGTGGGTCGTTTCTAATCGTTTCTGCGACAGGAATCCAGGACCTATACTAGTACTAAGTACTAATCAAATCTAGTACTCAATGGACTGGATCGGACCCTGGCGCGTAGAGTCGTCACAAAGCGGTTCCACTCTTCCCCATAAGCTGAAGCTTTGAGGACTCAATCTGGCGACGAAACCATGAACGTGCAGGGCGAAATAAGCTTGTCTTAATGGTTGGTGATCGGTGCTCCGTTCTTTCACCATTCACTCTTCTGACTCCTTACTTTTCATCTCAGCCCCCTCTTCCTCTTGCTTTCATTCGGTAACGACAGCTTGCAATGCATTCTCGTGACGAGGAGACACCTCTGCTGCAGTCCGCATGTCATGGAAAGAAGAAATCGACTCCTCTGCCATGGTTCCAGTTTTCCCTTACATTATTCCTACAGCTCGTGGAGCCTTTGACCGCACAAGTCATCTACCCGTTCATGCCAGAGGTGTGTATTCTTTTTGTTGTTTTGTGTGCTTACTGATTTCTCGAAATTAGCTTATACGCGACCTGGGTGTGACTGGTGGAAATGAATCACAAGTTGGCTATTATGTTGGCGTTGTCGTGAGTCTCGATCGTGGTTCTCGGAAACCGTGCTTCTTCTCATGACCATCTTGCACGTAGGAATCGATATTCTTTCTGACGCAAGCATGCACCGTTCTCCACTGGAGCTCAATCTCCGATCGAGTTGGGCGGAAACCTGTGATTCTGACAGGTCTCTTTGGTTTGTCGGTGTCCATGTACTGCTTCGGACTTTCGCGAACATTTTTGGGACTTGTTGTGAGGTGGGCGCTCTGCCATTTGGCTGACATAGGAGCTGATCCCTTTCGCAGCCGAAGTCTAAATGGAGCCTTGAGTATGTCACTATCTATTACCGTTGCCTTGTGCTCATACCACTGCCTAAAGATGGAAACATTGGAGTTATGAAGAGGTGCAATATTAGCCTTCTTTCAAATTGAAGAGCGCAACTTCTCATGAAGATATTACCTCCAGCGTGGTATCTGATATGACCGATGACACGAACATCTCTAAAGTAAGCATTTCCATTCACCCTATGCGACGCCTTCCAACCCAGATGCCGACTTTCAGGCATATGCCTACATTCCCATTGCATGGTCGACCGGTGCGACGGTGAGCGACGGTGCGGGTTTTCGTCCCAGCCAACTGACCACCTTCTGTTAGCTTGGTCCCATCATTGGCGGCTCGCTTTCACGACCGGCCGAAAGATTTCCTCAACTTTTTGGCAACAACGACTTTCTGCAACAATATCCTTATTTCTTGCCCTGCGCGATTCCAGCGACCTTTTCCGCCGTGGCTTGGCTTCTCGCGTTACTCTTCTTGAAGGAAACCTTGCCTGCACCCATTTGCCCTGCTTCATATTTCAATCTTCGCAAGAGCACTGCACCCCAAAACGTTGCTGGCTCTCAGGATCCATCTGTTACAGAGACCTCCATCGCCACCGTGCAAAGCCACAATGAGAAACCCTTACCGTTCAGGGCTCTTCTGACCCGAAGAGTAATGTTAGCAGCAGCAAATTACGCTTCCCTCTCCCTTGTGGACATTGCCTTTCGAGCCATCCAACCGCTCTTTCTCGCCACTCCCATACACCTCGGTGGTCTAGGCTTGCCCCCATCCACCATCGGCAAAATTTTGTCTGTATTTGGCGTTCTGAATGGACTGTTTCAAATGTTTTTCTTCGCTGGTATCCATGATCGATGGGGTTCCAAGAAGGTCTTCACCGCGGGCGTTGCCTCAGCAATTCCTGCATTCGCATGCTTTCCCGTGATCAACTACTTGGCTCGTGTATCGGGATACAGCAATATGTTATGGGCTTTAGTTGGATTCCAAACCGTGGTTTCGATAGGCCTGGGCATGTCATACGGTGGGCAAGCCACCATGTTCGTCTTCTCTAAGGCTTGAACTGTTGATATAGGGGCCATCTTCATATTCATTTCGGCGGCGTCGCCTAACAGAGCATCTCTTGGTGCAACGAACGGCATAAGCCAGGTGAGATCGTCCCTTGTTACCGCCTAGTCCTACTCATGTGTATCGTTATTGAACAGACAACCGTTAGCCTTATGCGAGCGATCGGACCAGCTTTGGCCAACTCTCTCTTCTCGCTCTCGATGGAGAAGGGATATCTTGGGGGTAATCTTGTCTATTATCTGCTTCTTATCGTTGTGGGCATAGCATTGGGTGTCGCTTCACTGCTCCCCTCCCATATGCGGATGACATAACTCTTGCGGCGCCCACATCATGACCTTTTGGTATTGTTCTCTACGAAAGCTCTTATAGTTGCGGGGCTGCGAGTTAACTAGAGAAAAAGCAATTATAGATGGGGTAATAAACAAAATCAAATCAAATGTCCACGAAGCCTCTTTCCAGTTCATACACCCTTGTGGTCGAGATGGATTTCAACGTTGTCGAAAACGTGAACAATACCTTTTCTTAACCTGTCACCTAACAGAACCCTCCAATAATCCTCCGCCGGATAGTCAAGATTGGCACTTCGTCCTGATAAATACGAAGCCAGCACAGCTTGCGGGCAGGGATTTTAGTAAGGTTACTGAAAAAGCTAACTCCAAGCTTTGACAGCTGTGTTACAATAGCCATCCAGTCCACCTGGTTTGGGTCCTTTGCTGGTCTACTTATCGCCCAAGTCGAGATATAGACAGCCCTTATCAAATAAGAGCTTTGATGGGACCACAACGTCGGACTTGCAGCTCGCTGATCTTGCGACTGGTGACGCTTCGGATGAGGGACAGAAGTAGTTCTTCAAACTGCATGCAAATTGGGCCACCGCCCAAATCATCGATCATCTGCAGTTATGATCGGGCCGTTGCAGGTTACTAAATAAGGAACCTTCCCAACTCGAAAGGCGCCGCCTGGCGCCCCTCTCGTCCGGCTTCCATCATTCAGCTGAGGGGACCACGAGCGTGCAAGGCGAAATAGCCGTTGTCGTGGCTGGTAATTTCGTCGAATTCTGACGAGTCATGTGGACGCATGGCGGGCACAATTGCCGGTCCGTTCTTTAACCATTCATTTTTTCTGACTCATTATTTCTCCTTCTGCCCCCTTCTTTCTCTTCCCCCTTTTCCCAGTAACGACAGCCTGCTATGATTTCTCATGACGAGGAAACGCCCTTGCTACACTCCGAACGTCATGGAAAGAAGAAGGCAACTCCTCTACCATGGTTCCAGTTTTCCATCACACTTTTTCTCCAGCTCGCAGAGCCCTTGACCTCACAAGTCATTTACCCATTCATGCCAGAAGTATGTACCATTTCACGTAATTTGTGGCGCGCTCAACTCATTTTCGGGAGACAAGCTCATCCGCGACCTAGGGGTGACTCATGGAAACGAATCACAAGTTGGTTATTATGTTGGCATGATGGTGAGTCTCCAAGTCTCCTCCTTGAGCTGAGCTCCTTCTGACAGTCACTTTATACGTAGCAATCGATATTCTTCCTGACGCAAGCCTGCACCGTTCTTCACTGGAGCTCAATATCCGATCGAGTCGGTCGAAAACCCGTGATTTTAACGGGTCTCTTTGGGTTATCGGTGTCCATGTACTGCTTTGGACTTTCGCGAACGTTTTGGGGACTTGTGTTGAGGTGGGTGCTCTATCTATCTTCTGACCAACATTCGCGCTCATGCCTACCGTAGTCGGAGTCTTAACGGCGCCTTGAGTACGTTACTTGGTCTTACTCGCTTACCTCTACCATGCTCAATCTACTGTCTCAAGATGGCAATATTGGTGTCATAAAAAGGTTAGCAGTACATAAGATTAATTTCATGAAGCCAAATCTGATCGAGATCTTATGTACAGCATGATGGCTGAAATGACAGACGAAACGAACATTTCTAAAGTGAGTATCATTGACCTCCACGACGTCTTCCGCGCTAATGACTACGACTTTAGGCATACGCTTATATGCCCATCGCATGGTCAACTGGTGGGACGGTAAGCTATTGCACAGCTCGTAGTCCCACAGACAACTGACCACCTTTTCTTAGCTTGGTCCCATCATTGGCGGCTCGCTTTCACGACCGGCCGAAAGATTTCCTCATATTTTCGGCGATAACGACTTTCTGAAAAAATATCCTTATTTCTTGCCCTGCGCGGTTCCAGCGACGTTTTCTGCTATTGCTTGGCTGGTTACATTCCTTTTTCTGAAGGAAACCCTACCCTCGCCAATTCCGGTTTCTCAGTTACTCAAAGTCCGCAAGGGCAAGGCTAACCTTGCCCTTCAAAACGTTGTTGGCTCCCAGAATTTATCCATAACAGAGACCACCGTCGTGACTGGGAAAGATCGTCATGAGAGTCCTGTGTCGTTTCGGGAACTTTTGACTCCAAGGGTACTCATAGCAGCAGCAAATTATGCTTTCCTCTCTCTCGTGGACATTGCTTTTCGAGCCATCCAGCCGCTCTTCCTCTCCACTCCCATTCATCTCGGTGGTCTGGGCTTGCCCCCATCCACCATTGGCAAAATTCTATCTGTATTTGGCGTTCTGAATGGAATGTTTCAAGTGTTTTTCTTCGCTGGCATCCATGATCGATGGGGTTCCAAGAAAGTCTTCACCGCAGGCATTGCCTCAGCACTTCCTGCATTCGCATGCTTTCCCGCAATCAATTACTTGGCCCGTGTATCGGGATACAGCAATGCGCTATGGGCTTTGGTTGGATTCCAAATTGTCATCTCGATAGGCTTGAGCCTGTCATACGGTGAGGCAACCTGTATTTCTGTCACCCTCAAAAGCTTACGCCGCTCGTGAAGGGGCTATCTTTATATTTATATCTGCAGCCTCGCCTAACAGAGCATCTCTTGGTGCAACGAACGGCCTAAGTCAGGTAAGATTGTCCCGGTTGCGGCTCGCTTACTGCCACTTACGTGTACCGAGCAGACAACCGTTAGCCTTATGCGAGCAATCGGACCAGCTATGGCCAACTCCCTCTTCTCGTTTTCTATAGAGAAGGGGTTTCTTGGGGGCCATCTTGTGTATTACATCCACCTCATCCTTGTGTGCATAGCATTAGGTGTGGCTTCGCTGCTCCCTCGCCACATTTGGACGACATAACCTCACGAAAGTCTTGCGTCGACCCACATCACATTTTACCCGCATTTAAAGTAGTATACCCCCCATTGTTCGATGGTCGCGTGAGTCGTAGTCGACTAGAAAACAAGAAAAAATCATAAATAGGGGTTGTAAACAAAAGCAAATCAAAAGGGGATTGCCACGAAAGGGTTACTCATCGCCTTTCCACCACACTCTTATGATCTCTTTGTTTCTCCCTCATAACTCTTTATAAAGAGCCCACACACTTAAACGTCCCTTCATCTCTTTGTTTCAATGTCGTCGTTCGCGAGCCTCATGGCGCTGAGTGCCACACAAACTAAACAATCGCAAGGGGCTGTACAAACAGCACTACGGGAACGACAACGGAAGGAGGAACTCAGGCGTAAACAGCAGGAGGAGAAGGAGGCTAAGGACAGGGAGTTAGAGAAGCAAAGGCGGCTTAGGATGTTCGAGGACCAGCGGAAAGAGGAGCAGAGGCGGCAACAGCTTGTCGCAGAGGAGAGGGCACGAGAGCTCCTCATGCAGAAAAGAGAGGAAGAACAGCGAAATTCCCTTCTGTATGGCCCCAAGAAAGCGGCTAAAATGGCGTCGACGTCCTCATCACCACCCGAGGGCGGATCCAAGTGGCCCACGTCCTCGTCGGGTGTTCGGGAGACTGTCCGCAAGCGCCGGCTCCCTGACGCATCAGATGACGAGTCAGGAGGCTTGCCATTGACTCGTGAGGAGCTACGGGAGAGGAAACTGGCGGTCGAGAGACGCAAGTTGTACTCCGCTGGCAAGCGGTCATCGCACTCTGGGGGGTATAAGAAAATGGGCAAGCGCCTTCCGGGGGGCGCTGTGGACATACAAACTTCTGCGCAGGTACCAGAATCTTTCGCAGGCAAGTCCGTGAAGGATCGCCTCGCGGCCATGCCCAATACCCTGACTAAATTGAACACGAACAAGCGAGACACTCGAACTATTGACGAGATCGTGCAGGATCGTGCGAGGATGAAGGAAGGCAAGACTCTGCAAGGCGATGAGGCCCTGGTGTTTGACGACTGGTTCACCACCAAGAAGAAAGAGGTTCCGAAGAAACTAGTTTCTGCTAGGCCTTCGCCTCCGTCTGCACTCCCATCGGGTTCGAACACTCCTGGAAGCTCAGCGTCGATGTCAGCGGTGGCTGCCCATAAAAAGGTTTCTAGCGCACCCAGGCTGAAGAGTGTTCCTCCCAAGACGCCAGCAGCTGCTCCATCCTCAACGCCAGCCGCTAATAGATCATTTCACTCGTCCTTCTCGCGTCCAGCGTCGGCACCTGCTGACAGACAGAGTGGAACCTCTAAGGCGCCAATGTCAAAGCCATCCAAGGCAGCTCTTGTGAATGGAAGGCAAGCAACCTCCTCTACGTCTGCCTCAATGAAGAAGCGGCCCCGTTCTTATAGTCCGCCTGCGTCCCCACCGCCATCCAAGAGACGTCAGCTATCTGACGACGAGCATAACGAGGGAGATTCGAACCTCAAGAGCGTTATTTGGGAGATCTTTGGCAAAAAACGAGACAAGTACGTTTCGAAAGATGTCTTTAGCGATGATGAAGACATGGAAGTCGATGCTACCTACCTTGAGAAGGAGGAGGCTAGGAGGTTAGTCGCGACCGTTGTCCAAGGATCAAGAGATCCTTGGTTGCTAACCGTTTTGTTTTCTATAGTGCTAAAATCGCAAAGAGAGAAGAGAAGAGGGCGTTGGAGGAAGAACGACAACACGAGGAGGAGAAACGTAGGCGCAAGAAGGAGAAGGAGCGTCTTGCTGCTGCTCGAGGTTGAAACCGACACCTTTTCGCATGGCACGAGAGCGGCTATGTCTCTTCTTGTTAGAAGGTCTGTCGGGGAGCTCAAGCCTCATGGAACGTTGTCATCTAGAGCTCGTACCCTTACCCAGAACATCATAGCCGTCGGCCACCCACCAGGCTTGGAGGCATGTACTATTTCTCTTTCCATTTTTGCATTTGATCAAGGCTATTTTGGATGGCAATTCTTCGCATTCACTACTATCTCTACACCCAGCAAATTCTCCCTCGCCAATCCACGTTGTAGTGTCTCAACCATGCTGTTGTTACACACACGATGGACATAATTATACTCACACTCCATCACCACATATTTATTCCATATCCCCCATCACATCCATGCTGTTGCTTTGTATAGCTGTCTCGAATAGTTTCTGGTTCTTTCAATCGCGCCTCTCTGCCTTAAATACAACATGTATACTTTTGAATAGATACTACTTGTTAGACTCAACATTTACGTGTTGACTGTCGTTCTAATGTACTTCATACCCTCATACTATCTATCCTTTCATAGATTACGAACTCGGACTTATATAAGGCTGCAAAATCAAAATTGACTGGGGATACCATTCAATATTTCGCACCGATGTCAATTCTTTGAGGACCGCGTCTAGCAAACCACTGAAAGCCAACGAATCAATCTCGAGTTGCAATTCTCGAGGTCGATTCAAGGATGCGAACTTTGCGAAGTACTCACTCAACTCTCGTGTTGAATTCCCCTAAAAACTCAGATCAGCGCACGCACAACTCCTCCCTTTGTTCACGATCGGAAATTCACGCTCACGAAAACCTCACAACGAAAACAAGAGGGGGTTATGGCGCCTACCCTCCCGAAACCAGTCGAGAGGGCTCAGCATGATATATCGTCATAGTCCAAGTTGAAATACACTCTATTTAATGATCATTACTTCGTCGAGCTAATGATGCCAAAGCGGCCCCGCTGAAACCAAGGCGGCGTGGAAGGAGAGGTCCACGCGTACGCTTTTGTATTGGGGCTTCTTCGCGCGGCTCGGGGGGACCACTGGTTCGCTGTTGAACAGGTGCAGGAGCAGGTGAGGGCTCTCGGGCTACAAGAGGACCGCTGGTGCGTTTGGGGGTTGGGGCAGGTTCACGTGGTACGAGGGGCCCAGACCGCCTTTGTGAGGCAGGCGTGTACTCCTGACCGGAAGGCATCCCTTGTGGCTGACCGGAAGGCATCTCACCGGAAGGCTTGAACTGTGGCTCTGGTTCCCGGGCTACTGGCTCGTTGGTCACTTCTTTGATAGAACGACGGGAGTTAGCAGCGGCGGTGGTCGCTGCTGGGTCCGCGGCAGTTGTTGTAGTCGCGGACCCATCAGCAGCGGCAGCAGGTGCGTTGGGACCGGCTGCTCCAGGTGCTGGAGTTGGCTGAGCCTCACCGGAGGAAGTGGCGCTGCTTGGGGCAGCAGCGGCAGGGTCAGCAGAGCTAGTGGGCACAGCGCTGCTTGAGGTAGCAGCAGCGGGGTCAGCAGAGCTGGTGGGCACGATGGAGCCTGTGGCAGAGGCAGAGGTGGTGGCGGCAGTGGGTGTTCCCGAAGGGCTGGAGCTAGAGCCCGCTGCAGGGGGCTGGTTGCACTGATTGTTGGCAGGAGGAGCGGGAGCGATCTTGTCAGAAACGTATGTAACTTTGTTCATCAAGACGGTTGTCTCCTTGATGGTCGTCCCTGGCTGAAGAGTCTGGTTCGTCGTCGAGTCGATGAAGTTCTTGATCACTGCCGTCGTATCAGTTGAGTTAGCGACGGCAGTGGGTACAGCAGGAGCAGCTGTGTCATGACGTTTCTCGAAGAGCGCTCGGCGGGGATACCGGCGTTCGCTCTCTGGCTTCTCAGCACGGGCAACAGGGGGAGTGTCCGCACGTTCTGCGTGGAGATCGCTGTACACACGACGGGGGAACCGGCGCTCCGAATCAGGCTTGGGCGCACGAGCAACAGGCGGCTCTACCGGGTCAGCACGCTTCTGGTAAAAGTCGTGGTAGACCCGGCGGGGAAAGCGGCGTGGAAGATTGGAATCTTCAGTGGAGGCTTCCCGTTTTGCAACGAGAGGCGGAACAGTGTCACGGACTTCGGGAACCTCTCTCGAAGAGGCGAAGCGAACCTTTGGTACGACCGGTTCGGTGATCTCAGCCCTGACGACCATGTCAGCGTCAGTGTATCTGTTATGTAATGTCATTAGAAAAATACTATGTATATAGGAAAGTTTTAAAAAAAATACCTGATGGGAGCACCAAAGACGGAAGCGGCGTTGAAGACCAAGGTGGCGAGGAGAAGGGTGGATGCTGAGGAAATCATCGTAGAACAAACGAAGAATAAGAGCGTCGAGTGATAAGGATCGTTGGGAATGGACTATCGACCTGCGAAGACAAGACGGACTCTGGGGCAACCTGCGCCGAAGAGATTGAATGGATGAGCACTGCTGGAGATTCATCATCTTCAGTCCACGTATTTATACAATCCGTCTCCTGGGAAATCAGTAGGGCTGTGCTTCTTTACGTGACATTTACATGTGCTTGTGGGTGCTTGGCAACTCCGCATACTTTTGCTTCACTTCCAGACCTATTGCAAGATGACTTGCCGATATCTGTTACTGATTTTAAAAGTCTTTCTGGTCTTTTCTGCTGGATTGTCCAGGACAAAGGACATCCATTCTACCGCATTTGCTTTCATTTACGCCCACTGGATTGTGTTTCGACTCCCTTGATGATCGGCCCATGCGGGGCCATGCTGTGCCCTGTCAATACGCCGTTTCAGCTTCAAAAATCTATTGATATCTCTATATACTTGCTTTGACCTTGACGAGCCCTTCAGACATGTTGCACGTCTTGAAAACCGGACAGGCTGGAACACGCTCGGAAAGTTTAAGTGATTTTATTATTGGTCGCTTTTTTACCTCAGGTTTTCTGCTCGGTCATGCCACCGTGGATGTCGGCGCCGTCATCACAGAGCGCTTATTTTGTAACCTCCGGTGAGTAAAGCTCGTCTAACTTCGCGTCGAACTTATCACTACATTTTCGCAAGCTTTTTTTAGCTGACTGCGTACGTATTCCAGCCAACCCATCACACTGTCCATAATAATACACAAATATACAAGTCCATGACATAGGAAAATAATTGCACCTGCGAAAGAAAAATCTTTCAGCATCGGAAACCCCTCCAGCACGGCGGAGGAACCTACTCAAAAAAACAAATCGTCCCCGAATTCAATAGTCTTCGATAGCATCTGCTGTTCGAGGTTATCCCGAAGTCTGATAAATAGAGGGCTTTTAAGACGTGGTCGTCGATTACAAGACCCGAAAGAGCACAAGCGAGCTTCTGGCTCAGCCGCCTTCGAGGTGCGCTCCGCCATGCTTGCCAAGAGTTCCTCAATTTCCTCCATGCGCGCGTCGAGCTTATCTATCTCATCTCGGAGGGTAATCTCATCGTCGTCCCTTTCATACAGCTCTTCGTCCAGGTCTCTATCATCTGACCCCTCTTCTTCTTCCTGCTCATAAAGATCCTCCGCGTCAAAATACCGCGTCTTCACCTCATCATCCTCATCCTCTTCCACGTCTTCAAACCGCGCGTAATAGAGATCCTCGTCATCGAAATAACGCGCTTCCATATCTTCGTCTTCCTCTGTACGGACATAGAGATCCAAGTCATCGTCGTCTAACGCGCGAATGTACACAATATCCGAATACTGTCCGTCCACAAGTGTGCGGTCGTCGTCTTCGACCGCTCGTGGGTACTTCCCTTCTGAGGCAACGTTCCGGGATGGTAGACGTTCAGTGTTTCTGAAAATGCTGCGACCGCCCGTAGGACGTTTATTGGGCATCCCGTATCTCCAGGTCCGCGTGACTATATTCAAGGAGTGAATTAACGGATGGGTGCCATGACATGACTAGAGAATGAGGAAGTACTACTCACCTTGAAGAAGAGGCAAAGGAAGAAGAGGCAGCGCTGAACCCCAGGGTTGTGAGCACCAAAGTGGCAGAAGGTGTCGCTAAGATCATGATACTTATCTCTCGGGGTAGTTAAGTAAGGTGTTAGTAGATAAATGGTGCAACGGGGATTCATCGGCAAAGCTGGTGGTTATTGGTTCTAAATTCTCTGGGGTAGTGGAAACTACGACAACCGGTGGATCTTGACTGTATCCACCTAATTCTAGGCCGGGAATGTGACCACATCTAGCGCATTCATTGAAGTTCTTGCTTAGTGAAGGCATAGCGCGGTAGGTCTAAATCCCTGATCAAATCAATTATCCGTTCGCCGTCTACAGCCGATCAACGAGCTGACTATTTTATTGGGGATGTGGGGTAGTGTAGATATGACAACGAGTCGGTTGTGCATACGGTGGCTGATGACATAGCCTCAACGGATGCTTACCGAGATCAGGCTCCTTGAAAGTGCCGAGAAAGTCCGCAGCTTTCCCCGATAATGACCGTTGACGTACACGCAAATAGACGACGGTAACGGCGGCTAGAGTGGAACCGACCGCGCCCAGGCTAGTCGCCATACCCACTCCCACTTTTTGCGGCTAATGACCAAGTTTGAGATGTATTAGTTCTAGGGTGTTCGAGGCCGTGTGGGGAGTAACACCGAGAGGCGCATCCCCACGATGATAATGCCTAGCAGGATGTAGTAGACCATGTACCCTCCCAGGAGCTTGTGTTGCAAAGATACCGAAAATAGGGATGATGCAATGGTAGGCGCGAAGGACCTCATCCCTGATGCTATCATCTGCCCGATCCCATTTGTCGACCCCAGTGCTGCTTTACCTGGTGCGTACTCCACGAACATAATTTGGATGGATCCTGTTCCTTGGAGTGAGATATTGCTAAAGGAATGACGACGAGGGGACATACCATATGCCATGGAGATCGTAATCTGAAAAGCGAGCTGGATGATCATTACAGCAGCCACTATGCCGTCAACTTTCCCTGCCCTCTTTGCAAAATAACTCATGATAGGGTACGAGCCGATGCAAATAAGAAAGCTGGAATACGCCACCATATAGACCCTCCTAGGACCAAAATGTCTAATCAACCGGCCCAGAAAGTTGATCTGGATGAATGCATTGAAGAAACCAAACGCTCCGAGGACCACACCTATTCGAAATGGGTCTAATCCAAGACCGCCCAAGGAAATGGAGGTTGAGTACATCAGCGGCAGAAGGGCCGCGTGGCTCATGTCGGTGAACGCGAGGAAACCATAGTTTAGGAAAGCCATGAGGAGTGGTCGGCTAAGGAAGGCCTGGAATGGTGGGGGTTGGCTTGTGGGGGGAACTGTAGATTCAGCAGTTATGACACATAGCGAATCTTCTGATAGGAAAGGTGTTGTGGACCCATAGTTGCCGCACTCAGCGCGGCTCTCAATGAGAGGTATGGATTTTTCTTGGGAGCACGAAGTCCAGCGCATGATACGCCTCTTGACATCTGCCAAGTGTCTCCATCCAGCAGCGTCTGGTAAAGTCTAAAGAAGGCTATTAAAATTTCGTCCCCGTGAACTGAGATGAACTTACTTCTTTTAGGGCGATCAGCGATATCGGGAATGCGGAAAACGCCAAAAGGGACGCAGCAGCACATGGAAGGAAATAAGGATGGTCTTGAAAAAGACGAATCTTCCCAAGTGTGTTTGGCCATCTTTCAGCGGGGTTGCTTAGCAGGCCACCTAATATGGGTCTGTTTTGAATCAGCGAAAACATGTCAAGATAAGAAAATTTAGAAAGTACCCAATTGTAATCCCAGAAGTCCACATCAACTGGATCAGGGCAAAGGCATCTGCTATGTTCGACGAGTCCGTTATCTGAACATTTCAACAGAATGATTAGAATATTAAGATATGAACTGTTTTCCGGGAACTCACCTCACCGAGGACCGTCTTGGAAACACCTAACGACACATAGATCAACATCATGCAACGTATTCTACAGATGATGGATCTTACCGATATTACCGTTGAAGATGCCTTGCATGCACCGATAGGCGACAAGCGGCCAAAAGGTTGTTGAGAGGCCAAAGCAAAGCATGGCAAAAGTCAGACCAAGAGGCCCCAGGAGCAATATGGGTTTTCGTCCATAACGGTCTGAAAGCCATCCCCACTGGAAGACGGTAAGAGTTTCTGCCAGAAAAAATAGCGACTCCTACAGTAACAATGAGAAACGGGCAAATAAATATAAAAATTGACTTGCAATAATACCAGCGTAATATCCAGTTCTTCGCTCATCACCCCCGATTATACCAGTGTCTCGGACGAACTGATTGACAAATGGGTAGATGACGGTGGCCGTTATTGGCTCTGCGAATTGGATGAGGAAAAGGACGAATAACTGGACTTTGGGGAGAGGCGTCTGTTTTGGAGTCACCGATCCCGACCCAGATGAATTATCGAAATCATTTAGATGGTAAGCATCGTCTGTTTCTTGTGCACCTCCACTGGACATGGTGATGGTACTTTTCCAAGTTTGCTGGCAGTCCGGAGTTACGGGTTACTGAGAAATTTTCAAGGCAAGCTATGTACACCGTATTAAGCGCCAAATCGCTGGTACGTCATATGTGAAACCGGACAGTCCCTGGCGAACTGCCACTGAGGCTATGAATTGTTGAGTAACGGCCGATGTCGGATTTCATAGATGCATCGATGAGCCTTCATTGACTGCAGAAAGACTCAATGGCAGTATTCGCGCTTTCCTCTCGATGGTTGTTTAGAATTGAGATGACAATTTCTTCTCCGGATTGTGGTGATGGTGTAGTTTGGGGAGTTGAATCTAGCTTTTCATGGAAGAACCCGTTAAGCTCCGGATGAAAGTTTTTTGAGCAGATGACGAGAGGAAAGCGAAATTGTCAAGGGACAGACATTTTTGTAGAGTCAAGAACAAACTGAGGGTTCGAGCTCAAGGGCCTAGTATAGCTTTTTTGGACGCGTTCCAAAGAGGATGATGCCAAATAAAGCGCTTTCAAGTTCTTGTGATTGAATATTCCAAGTTCGAAGTCCCCTCAAAACTCCAGATATTCCTTCGAATTATACCTCGACGCGTCGTTTACACTCAGTTTCGTGTAGTCGTAATGTCAAGCGAACTCGTACAACCTTCAAGCGCTGAAAGGACTTGTAAAGGATACCAATTTCGAACGGGCAATCGAGTATGGCTCGCGCAATGATGCTAGTCGACCGGCCGCATCTCGTTAGGACTTGAAAAAGCGTGCACGTTAGCCACTCGTCCGAAGCGTACGTACTATTTAAGTCAGTCTAATTCCTAACTAATTCCGACTTTTTTCAAGCTGGCGGGCTGAATTTAAATCCACCTACTATATAAAAGTAACAGATTCTGTTCAGCCGCCTCCTTTCTTCTCCTTCACAATCCGGCATTGTTAACAAAACGTATCTGCGATATCATTCAAATCTTCCATGTCGCTCACACTGTCTGCCGGGAATCTTCTCCTCGAGCTGTGGTCCAAACGACTCCTGCGTTGCACCTTCATTGCCGTTGCAATGGGGTCCATTTTTCTTATCCTGCACTTTAATTTTCGTGGAGGGTTGAACCCTACTGCTGGTCTTGGGGAGAGGGCTGGGCTCGCCAACGCTGAAACCTACCATTCGGCCACACCCACTTTCGTTGATCCCGATCCGAGCGATATTGCTTCCTTCGGAATGGCAGCTTGCGCCGCGGTCGCTATTGCAGCATCGATCACCGTTCTTATCAGATCCTCCCGAAGAAAACCATGGGTTCGAGCATCGCGGTCGCCGCCACTCAGTCAAGCCAAAAAAGTGTCAGCCACTCCAACATCTAGGGTCATCAGCTTTGAGGGAACTCCTAAAAACTCTGAAGTCGTTTTAAGTACCCAATGCAACAGCTGCCCAAGCGGAAGGCCTAGCACAGGATTGGGATCTACCAGAAGCACTGTAGATAGGGTATCACCGCGTCTCGGAATAGATTCGAATCGACCAACATCAACGATTTTGAATGGGTGCTTTTCATCACAAGACTCTCTTTTAGGAATTCTGGAGGAGGCGGAACGTAGAGAGGTAAGAGCTTCATTTCAGATACAAAGCATAAAATCATATCTTTCCCAATGGTAGGCGACAGCGAAGGAAAAGGATGACAAGCCTATCGCACATCCTCCTAAGAATGCACTCAGACCCACGGCCCCGAGTTTCGTTCCTCGAGATCTTCTCTGTTTTCCGAAAACGCAGGTCGTTCGTATATCCCCCGTTACCTTTTCACAGCTACAAGACGTGTCCGAGATATTCAAGGATTCCCCCGCGGTCGATATCTGCGTATGTCCTCACATTACATCGTTATTCCTTTGTATCGAGTCGTTCGCGTTTCCAGGTTGGGTCCGACACAAAGTCCATATCTCAGCCCTCAGTGCAAAAAACTCAAGCTGCAGCACCTTACATGCCACCTCAGGTTCGTTTGATCACTTTTCTGTCTCTTCTTTTTTCACGCCTATAACCAGACACATCGATTCGTCCCTGGCGAGTATCAACAACACGTTCCTAATCCTCCAAAGCCTCAAGGTCCCCCGCACCGACCCTCGCCTAAAACAAACCGACAACCGGCTTCAATCAAGCAAAGTAAACCGCAACAACCGCAATTGGCCTCAGCCCCTCCAAGCAGGCGATTTTTACCGATCCAAGCCACTCTCAGGGAACCCCCTCCGTACTTGTCTCTCGCTCCTTCGGACAGTCGTATGTCTCCTTCTCCGATCACTTTGAGCAAGGATTCTTCTCCAGCAGCTGCTTTAGAATTTCCGCCCCCCAGTATCACAAACCTTCCTCTTGTGAACCGGTCTTCGCGGTGGGGACCACCAAAAAGCCCTCCAGAGGTCTCTATGCACCCTCCAATGGTCCACGCGCTCAGCCCCGCCGCAGCTTTACTTGCAGTTCCAAATCTTCGTCCTAATGCGATCAAAATCGTAAGTCCTCTGCCGGGAAGACGCGCACGCGGTCGAGCTGCACGTATGCGTAAATGGGCCGAAGCTATGGCTGCGACCTTGGATGGGGATGTCCATGTTTCTGATTTTGAATTGCTTGATGTGTTTGATGGGGATTCTGGAGAGGATTAAGTGCAAGTTCTGCCCCTTTCCTTCCGTTACGTTATTTATTTCACGTCTCCGCGAGTATTCCTTGCCATGATTCATTCCGTGCATATACATATATCCCATTTTATTCCCAAAGTTAATGTAGTTGAAAATTTAAGGTTAATCACCGCGTTGGAGGTCCTCTCAATTCCTGTTTGTCCTCTGCTTGTTGAAGCAGTGGGAGATGCCCGATAGCTTGTCACTGGTGCACTGTCCTTCCTAGTTTTGGTAGCAGCAAGGAGCACCGAATGCCGACTAGAGTGACACCAAGTAGGAAGAAGTAAACGAAATTTCCTCCTGCAAGATTGCGCTGTAACGATATTGAGAATAAAGAGGAAGCGACGCTGGGAGCAAATGCTCGCATGCCAGACGCTACCATCTGTCCTATGCCGTTTGTAGCACCCAAACCGGCCTCTGGTGCGTTTTGGACGACCATAATCTGCATGGATCCTGTAAATAAATGAGCTCAACTGAACGTGACATTGGTTTGACGGGGAGTGCCTCACCGTACGCCGCAAATATCGCAGTCTGGAATGCAAGTTGGATGACCATGACAATGGCGACGTTCCTGTCTACCTTCCCGGCTTTGAGAGCAAAGAACTTCATGACCGGGTATGATCCCAGACATACAAAAAGGCATGCATAAGATGCGATGTACACGGTGCGAGGGCCGAATTTTCTGATTATGCGGCCGAGAAAGTTGAGCTGTATGATTGCATTGATAAAACCGTAGACGCCCAAGATAGAACCGATTCTGAATGGGTCCAAACCAAGTCCTCCGAGAGGGATCGATGTAGAGTACATCAATGGCAGCAAAGCGGCATTGCTCATTTCGGTGAATGCCAGGAGGGCGTAGTTGAGGAAAGTCAAAAGAAGTGGTCGGACGAGGAATGCACGAAGAGGTGGCGGTTGTTGAGTGGCGGTTAGACACCCTGGATGTGCATCCTCGCCGGCAAGTAGCGTTGACGTAGAGGAGTCAAGAGAGTTTATAGCTCCGTAGTTTTGATTATTGTTTACTCCATTGAGACTCGTCGTTGGGAAGTACCCTTGTTTATCTTTCGTTGTCCGTCGAAGTAGACGGCTTTTCAATCGAAGGAGTTTCTGCCGACCAACGGCAGTCGGCAGGGTCTGAACAATATCGATATCAACAATTTTTAGTAAATGGAAAAGAAACAAACCTCCTTGAGCGCTGCAAAGGCAATCACAAAAGCACAAAAGGCAAGAAAAGACGCGGATGCGCATGGCAGGAAGTAAGGATGAGTTTGAAGAATTTTGATACGCCCCAAGGTGTCTGGCCAGCGATCGGCTGGATAGCTCAATACACCACCCATTATTGGTCTATCATAGAAGCAGTGAGCAGGATGTTGACAGACGATAAGCAACTGAAGCGCACGCGATGGTGACCCCTACGCTCCACATAATTGGAACAAGTGCAAAGGCATCAGCAATGTTGCTTGCGTCCGTGATCTATCAGAAATGTCACTATGAAGATGCGAATAAAAAGGCCACTAATCTTACCTCTGCTGTGACGCTTTTTGAAACTCCTGGAAAAAGGCTCAGCGATGGGGAGCGATTTATATGACAGAGATATACCAATGTTGCCATTAAAAACTCCTTGGAGGCATCGATACGTGACAAGTGACCAGAAAGACCTGGATAGGCCAAACCCAAGCATAGCACACGAGAGGCCAAGTGGGCCTAGCAATAATACCGGCTTGCGTCCGTAACGATCTGATAGCCAGCCCCACTGGAAAACGGTCAACATCTCTGCCAAGAAGAACACAGATTCCTGGAAGTCATGGCCAGTTGAAAACATTTCGACACCACAAGGAAAATCTTACGATGACTCCTGCGTAATAGCCCGTTTTTCGTTCATCGCCTCTTGTTATTCCTGTGTCTCGCACGAATTGGTTTATGAAAGGGTAAATGACCAGAGCTGTGATCGGTTCCGCGAATTGGATTGAGGAAATAATGAACAGCTGCAGTTTAGGAAGAGGCGTTCGTCCAACTTGTGGTCTCGTGTCGTGGTTGTCACCATTGACGTCGAAGGAATGGTTTCCCTCAGCCAGCGACCCATCTTGGCGTTTGTTCCTTCCTGCCATATGGCGAAGTGAGGTTAGCGACTTGACTCGTCGACATTGACTTTATACAAACTTTATATGCCGGTGGGATTGATTCAAATTGCTGCTTAGTCAGCAGTTTTGACATTTTGCGGTGATGGGAAGTAGATTGTGCCAGAATAAATGGGATTTGAAAACCGTCCGGGAGTCCAGAATTTCAGAGAGTCCATAGAGTCACGCGGCATTGAACGTGATAGCCAAACGTGACCTCTCGCGTAGGTTCCTGGCGAGTGGCGAGCGCTTCACCCCGCCCGTTCCTGTCGTCGCTATTCCTCTGCCAGATGTCCCTCTTCACATGCGGCCTCAAGGATCCTCCATGGCTCAACCCTGCGCTTCGTCTCATCCCACCGCCTGTCGAACCGTTATGCAGAGTGGGCCTTAAGAGGGCCTTCCTCTCCCGCCATCTTCAGAGAAGACAATCAAGGCACGCTGCGTCAAGGCGCCGTGCACTCATGTTGCTGCAGGGTCGTGCACCGACCAAATGTGCAAGGCGTGTTTTGAGAAAACTCTGTCGTTTGTTTCTTCAAAAAATACAACCGAGGTCGTCGACCAATTTCCGTCTCTGGCCACCCGCTCACCTCGCTCGCTACCAAGAGAAGGTGATTGATATTCTACATTGTAAGATACCCCATTTAGGTACGAATTATGAATGTATAGTTGTTGCAAATTGAGGGATCGTAACACCGTGCTGCTAGACTCGCCTTGACGCGTCGTCTAGAAGTCATGTGATAGCTCGATCGGGAATCACCTGACTCTACGAACTCCATGGAGTTTCCGGAGAGTTTTCAAATCCCGTTTGCTCTCGATTGTGCACGCATGCAACATCTTGGCAACATAACCATCGTGCCTCAAGGCTCAAACCAAGGTTGAACGTTGAGTTCTTGAAGTTGGGTCAAAAGCTTGAGGCTTTTTACAGTCCCTCCGCCTCCACCGACGCCCTCCCCACCATTAGCTGTCGTGTCACAGAAGCCAAATCCGCGTCTTATTTAACTGTGGAGTATGTGCTCGCTCTCCCAGGAGCCTTCTCGACAGCTTGTTCACAAACTTGGACCGACGAACGAAAGCCGGAAATGGTCTATGATTTTGCAAACAGCTGGAAACTTCGTTGTTCTTTGAACATCAACTTTCAGCATCCCACCTCCCAAAAACCCTACTTTTGACGAACAGAGTACGAGCGTTTGGAATCTTCTACTGTCGACTGGACAGCTAGCAATAGCGAGACCTCACGTGCCAAATACGAAGACAAGCTCATAGACGCTCCAGTCTTGGTATCTTGTTTAACTTCCACGAACATGTCGGCGCCGACAGTTTCTCCGTCATCGCTTTACGCCGTCTCCTACTTAAGCTTCGTTCTTTCTTCGATGCCGAAGACGAGGCAGGTGCCCAAAGAGCATTCAGGTTATGCTGTCACCGCGTTTACGATGTTAAAGGCGGCGGCTGTGAGGTTCACGGACTACTTGATGGACAAGTTAACCGCCTTTCTAATGTTCTCAGTATACGTGTGAAGTTGCACCGTGCACCTGACCGCTTTGCACTTGGGTTTAAGGCCGTTCCTGGGAAGGTGAGTTCCACAACATGTTACATCTTTTCCCTTTTTGTATGACGATTGATCAAATCCGATAGAAACACACATATGATGTGTATATGGCTGAAAGGGAAAAACCTGCGATACCATTGTATCAACCCACGGCCGCCACTCTTGATCAGCCCAGACGCAGCATTTTGTCGTGCACGCGGTACTCTGCCAGAACTTCCTAGCCCTTCGTCTCTTGACGTGGCTGTCACAACTCAAATGGTCCTCTCTAACCTTCGTCGAACGTCCCCTATTGGTCGGCACCACCATGATCCGGCTTACCTTCCTCAACTAGAGGAGCTCCTGATTGAAATTACTCAACAAAGCCAAACTCTTGTGCAACATTTTCGCGATAAGGCAAAGGATGCCCTCAAGGAGATCGCAGAGCGGCGCAAGAGTTCAGAACGAATCGACGCACTGAGGAACGCCGTTTCCCATGCGGCTACAGGGAAACTTACCGTGGGAGAGATCCGCCCCATGCCTTCCAAGAATCGGTATCACGATTCCGAGGATTCTCAAACAACTGCAGTTTCTACACCTTCCTAGTACCCAGCTGCTTCCCCTCATGTTAACGATCGTCGTGACGTTGCAACTCAAACCACCTATGAATCCAAGTGCAACTTCCCCCTCTAATCCGGCAGCCTGGACTTTCCTTCCTCGTTCATAATGACGACCCATCTATGTACAAAGTTTACCTCGTGGGCCTCTGGGAGGTTGATCGTGAACTTGAGGAACTCGAGGAAAAAGCGACGCCTTCAGACACTGACGGCCAAGACTATGGCTCTACGAGATCAACCATCGACTCGCGGGTGATGCATCTCTCAAAGAAAGCTCAAGGAATTAGAGTTGCAGCAGAAGGGGAGAACAAGGGAACCTCAAGGCTCAAAGCTTGGCTTAAACGGGTCGTTCTTCCCGTCCAACATCAGACCAAGCTAGAATTGGTTCTCGACGTTGACGAGAAAGGTGCCATGCAGTGACGGAAATATCCCTGCCCAGGAACTGCTTTACCGCTCAGGAGGCCTTTGATGCGTCCATCAGTGGTGCTCTGAGAACGTCACAGCTGGTCCTTCACTCTGCATGGCGTGACTTGGAAACAGTTCAAGATTGCGTGGCTTCCGTGAGTACATTAAATCAAACCTTTCATACAGCCGCTCATCTTCATTTATCCGAGCAACTCATCAACTAGGATTGAGCGTGTAATCAAAAGGGCGGTCAAGGTTAGTCATCCCAAATTATTTCCTGCTGGTCGTGTTGTTGAACTGGCATAAGAGAAACGAAAGCAATGCTCGCCAAACTCCGTGCGTCGGAGGCGGGCGCACAATGAACTGATGGTGAGATCTTTCAGCAACAAGATTTAGATACGGGTTCCCCTGGTCTACCTGGATATTCCAAGGGAATGGAAGGTTGATGTTCACTACAAGAGGCGTTACAACTGTTGCCCCCTCTGGTTACGACCCAGCACGTTTAAGCGTTCTTAATCGAGTCAGTCTGTGCGCCAATATCCGATACCAAGGAACATCGTCGGTGGCTGGTGTGATAAAGCCTGGTTACGGTGTCAACGTTGAGCCGGGGAATGTGTCAACTAGCAACGAAGGGCATAATTAATCATAATTTAAGCTTGTGACGAACAACATAATTACTGAAGTACACCACGACATTGTTCTCTACTGATTCTCACCTGCTGAGCCTTGAAGAATAGATTGCGTTCTATATCCTTAGCCTCTTCAATATTGCATCGCCTTGCATGCCCAAAGTCAATGATTGTAACTCTGAAGTCACTGATGAGGATATTTTCCGGCCGAATATCATCGTGGATGATACCTGTGTGATGGATGGCCTCCAATGTTGACATAGCTGAATCACTATTCAGGAGTAAACATTTAGTACTGGAGGGACAAGTCTCGATCAAGTCACAAAACTTACTAGTCAGAAGTTGACAGCATACATCCTGGAGCCAGCATAGAGATCAGAACACCTGCATAAAGCATAACAAGTGTGCATGCAGAATCTTCAAGGTCATTGAAGAAACCAATGGTTGGTGTGATGCCTCGATGAACGCCTTTGGACTTCAGAAGACGATAACAAGACAATAAAGTTCATATTCACTCTTAAGGGAATCCCGCTGTTGACCATCAAATGCAAGCTTCACAACAGCATCCAGTGTTCCTTCCATGCTTTTTGGCTTGAGGGTGCCACGGAGGGCTATGCCAGTTGCACCTTGTCCAATTTCTGAAGTGATGACAATGGTCATACATTGACTTCCATCAGTGCAGTGGCATGGAGAAAATGGGGGACTGTTTGGTGAGATATTCAAAGGCAAGGAGCGAATGAATGATGCCAGAATGGGAGAGTTGTACACTCCATACTGGAGATAGAGGTGTATAAGATCACAGTGGCTGGAGACATCTATAATTTTCTGGTGGTCATCAACATCATTGGCAGTTGACATTGCCAAAGCAAACATACATACCTCAATGTCCAGTCTTTCAGCAGCAACACCTTTATCCCTGCTGTGTTCAAGGCCACTTGCTCCAGAACGGCCTGCTCCATGGCCACCTTTACTCTGGCCACCATCAGTGGCATATTTGTCATCTTGTTCCATGTGATCCATTGCATCTTGGACAGCAGCAATAATAATGCCAACATGAATTTTCCTGTATCCAGGATTAACACATTGGTAAGGTATGATAACATCGGATACGTACAGCGTCTGCGAACTTCGGTGACGTATGCCGATAACTTCATGGTTACCAGAGTGAAGCACGACAACTGACGTGTTAACTCTTGTAGCTTGTGCCCAGACCTGTGAAATTTGATATTAACATTATTTTGGCAGAATTTTGTACTGTTACCTGCTGGACAAAGGAAAGTGCCGTTGTGTCCCTGGTTCTGGGATCCTGATCGATTGCGCCACTGGGATCCTCATAGGTCGCGTCGCTTGAATCATCGCTCAAATTAACATCATCAAATTTTTGTCGCTTACTGCACTTCAGAGGGGCAGGTGTGATTGAGGGTTCCATGGAGAAGACCCCGCTATCAGGTCTTCTACGTTTCTCACCACAATTTGATGCAATTGATGGTGCCAATGTCGAGGTACCTGCCATTGCAACTGGGGTAGTTTGTGTTTTTAGGTGGTCAATTCGTGGAGCCTTTAACAATATGATGAACAGAATGTTAAATACAAGATGTAACGGAACGCACAAGGAGATTCCACGGGGGATGCACTGCATCACGTCCAACAACAATTTTCGCAGCTTGATCCCTTCCTGTCTTGTGATTACGGTCTGTGCACGGGTTGGATTCGCAACGCTCCCAAGAAAACTCTGTCATTTTGGTAACATCGTCCATTACGCTGAAAGGAGTTACAGTCAGACTCTTCAACTGAAAAGTTGTTAACGGCGTTCCATCTGCCCGCATCTTTTTGATAAACTCGCGAGTGGCCCCGTCCATCTATTCTAATATTGCATTCATGTTTCGTTCAACCATTTCAATGGTTGATGATCTCCGAAAAAAAAGTTCGCCGTCCACAGTGTTTGCATAACTTGACTCGGAGGAAACGTCCGAGGAGTAACATATGAGAGTTTGCCATTCTGGTACAGCATCAGGATGCAGGAGTAGCGTTGAAGCCACATATGGGCAGAAGGTCCCGGTTGTTGCTTGCAAAAGGGCAGCAACTCCTTTCTCGGTGTCTACCGAGTCAGTTCTTTGGAGCTCTTCGGCGTACTTTCTTTGCTTGGCTGTTATGAAAGCGTAGTCGGGAGGTGGAAGGGCATCTTTTACACGTTCAAGCGCTGAATCTACAGTTTCCGCTAGAATTCGTGATAGGGATGGAATGTGTACCACCCGCTTGAGGATTGCTTTATTAGAGAAGTGTTTGTCGAAGAATGTCGGTCGGCGAGATGCAGTGGATATTAGTAACTGCGAACAACATCATCCATACCAGGAGTTTGGACTTCAACATTTCATTTGGACTGGGATCAAGATGTCACCCAGACGGGCCTCGAGATACAACGTCGATAAGGTACGGGATGTTCAAGTTGTTCGAAGAGCTCTTTCAAGTCAGTCTGGGGTCTTGTCGGGGTTGGACCTGGTGAGGAGGGGCAATGAGAACGTTTCGGAGAAGGAGTACCATATCTGCAAAATGTGTTGAGAAGGTTGTTGGATGTGGGCGCGACGTCCTTCGAGACGCGTTGGTTGTGATCTGAGTGACATTAATGAATTTCAGGGCTTGCCTTGCAATAATTAACGCGGAAATTACGTCCTGTTCACAGATGAAGCTTACCTTGCTGGCCACTGGCATGCCCCAAGCCGGAGTCCCTCAAGAAAGCCACATGCGCTATAGGCAACTCGACTTAATACGTATCCAACTTGTCATCGTCCTTCTCTTACCCTCCAGCCCCACAGGCGATGATCTCTGCGACAGCACATCCCAAGATCCTACACTCATCAAATTCCTCCTAGACGCATGCAGCTGAAAACTGCTTGGGCGCGTCCCCCTTAGCAGTCAAGAATGACCTTGGGGTCCCTGAATCTCCGTTCATATTTTCGTTATCCGCAAGTGATTGTACTGCGTCTGAGCAAATTACGCGAAGAAGGAATTGTTGAAGGAGGAAGAGAGTCAAGGAAAAGAACAGATTGACATAGTCAAGTCTTGCTACCAAGAGGCTCGGGAGCAGCTACCATAATTAATTGGACCCTTGGAAAGTAGTACTTTCGAGTTTAACCTTTCAATTTCCTTCATGTGACTATTGTAAATTCAGCAGCAGAGAACAAAAGATTATAATAACGAGGGGTATTGCTTTCTATCATACATTGCGGTATTCAAACGCTGGGCTTCCAGGTTCTGAAGTATCAATGATGTTCTTCGTGTATCCAGCCTCGCCCTCTTTTTGCCTCGCTTCATCAACCGACAAGACCTCAACGTCCACAAGATTCAAAGACTTCTTCAGGTACGGCAGTATCTCGGTTAGAACGGCGCTCTCTGAGAAGGGCAGGGCACGACGGAAGGCTGTCTGGGCGCCAAATTGCGACATTCGTTTCTGCGAAGCAAAAGACCGTTAGTAATCCCGGATTGGCCAAAAAAAGATGTTCTAACCTTGAATGCCTGAATGAATGGCATAACGCGCTTATCCTTTATCAGCCCATTCCCTGTCAGCAGTTGCTTGACCTTTGCATCGTCCACCTTATCCGCAACCTCATCGTATGAATCCTTGATAACCTGAACGCAGGTATTCTGCCACTCAGGGAACGTCGTCGCCACATAAATCCTAACAGCCTTCGGCTTCTTAGGATCAAACATCGACTCCGTCGGCGCCTTCTTGCCTTTAACCTTGCTCATCATCTTCAACAACGACACCTCGGCATCGCGGATCGTCTTGATCGTCTCGCGCATGTAGCTCCCTGCTTCGATCAGCGTACGGTCTACGGGTTTGGAGGGTGTAGGCCACAAGGCGAGCTGGATGGATTGGGGGTTCTTCAGGATGCCTGACCAGATGTGTTCGGCAAAGTGAGGTGCGATGGGTGTGACTAGCAGGGCTGCGATGCGGATCCAGTTGGGGATTAGATCTGCGTGCATGCCGACGTCTGAGGTCACTTCGCGGTACCAATCTCGCGCGCTCTGCAGCTCGTAGAATCCGTACTTTAGGGCGTCTTTGTAATTTGTTCTGTGGAAACGGGTAAGGGTAGCAGACGGTGGGAGGGATAAGGGACGAACGCTTCGTAATGACTATGGGTAATGTTGATCAGCTCATTGACCTCTTGCTCGAAGACCTCGTCATGGTAATTTCGAGGTCCAGACCGGAGGTTAGCGTGGTCGTTGACAATTTCCTGTGAAAAAGAAATGTCAACCAGAGCAATGTAAACCGAGAAGGTAAAACCTACCTCACACCATCCCAACAAAGTATGCACCCTAAGAATATTCGCATTCGCCGTCTTCTCCTCGAAATTCGCATCCTCCAGACCGTCCCCAGCGTCCGCCAAACTCAACCTTGTCGCATCCGCACCAAACTTCTCAATAGCCTCGCGTAACGTCAACGAATTCCCCGTACTCTTTGACATCTTCTTTCCATTCAACATCAAGTGCCCGTTCGTCCGCATGCTCAGAGGCCACTTGTCCTCAGGGAATAGCGCAGCGTGGTTGTACAGCGCGAAAGTTAGGTGGTTGGGTACGAGGTCCTTTGCTGAGGAACGAATGTCGAAAGGGTAGAAGAACTCGTATTCGTGTTTGAGGGCGTCTACTTTTTCTTTGGGTAGGGGAGCTGGGGATGGGAAGGGCCCGTTGCAGAAGATATATTCCCAGATTTCGTCGGTCATCTGCCCGGGAATGATACCCAATGGGCCAGGTTTGCTTCCGTCAATGCTGCCTTCTGTGATAGTAGTTAGACGCAACTGTGTTTTTCAAGAGGGAAAAGCGAGCGTACCATGCAGCAACTGTGCGACCGTGTAATAGCTCATGTAAATCGTAGAGTCACTCAAGGATTCCACCAAGAAATGACGATCCCAGGGCAACTCCGAACCCAAACCATACGTCCGCGCACAAGCCCACTTGTTCAACCACGCTAGGGTCTTTTCAAACGCATGTCGTGTCTCTTGGGAGTAGGTATTCATCTTGGCCAACAACCTTTTCTTTCATCAGTTCCAAGGCACAAAACAAAATGCGGGGAAAAACCTTACCCTTCAGTCTGCGCCCTCCAAACAGGCTCTCCATAATCCAAATACCACTGATCCATCAGGGCGACAACACACTCATCCGCACTCCGTGAAATGACCAGTCCTTCTGGCTCAGCGTACGCAAATGCCACACCAGCCTTGATCATCGCCTCTCTAACCTTCGGCTTCGCATCCTGCACGCTTTCGCCCTTGTACTCCCCAACTAACATGGTCCCGTTATAAAAACCCTCCTTGTACGCAATCTCCTTCGCCTCAGCCAGCTGTTTCGTATCTTTTTGAGACTGGATCTTTAGCTGCTTGACGATGGCGGGTGCCGTCATGTCGCCGTAGGTCGGTGTGGAGATGACGGGGACGGGGTCAATGGATGCCCATGCAGGCTCGATTTTGTAGAATTCGGTCTTTTTGCGGAGGTCCATTAGGGTCTGGTAGTCGTCTGGTGAATCGGAGGGTACGGATGTGACGACGCCCGTTCCCTATTTCTTGTGTTAGCTCGCGTTCAAGTGATGTGGATTGTAAGATACACACTTTGGTAGCTAGGACGTTATCCATTGGTAAGACGTAGACCTCGGGGTTGATCGCGTAGGGCGCTTTGATCCTGGTCCCGACGATCTTGGCTCCGTCCAGCTCAGCTAGTTGTTCGATGTGTCCCCGTGGCGTGATAGTCCCCTGGAAAGCCATGTTGCGAGCAGCTCGCAAAGTGCAGACGAAAGCCTCCTTGTCGTTGACGGCGAACAGTCCATATTTAATCGACGTTCCAACGAAGCAGTTGGTTTGGCCGTACCTGCTTTCTTTAGAAGTTGTCAAAGATAGAAGGCTCGAGAGACTCACATAGTTTCAGGACGCAGAGTCGCTGCTACCAAGAAGGCCTTGCGTTCACCGACCTTGCCTTCGATCGCAGCCTTGGCCGAAGGACTCCATTCGACCACCTCCATCTTGATACCGGTATATTCCTGTGGTCCAAAACCTTCTCCATCCTGACGATCGTGATCCATACATGGTTGTCCATCCTTGGGGCTGTAGATGGTGTACCGCTCGCCAAATTTGATTTTACCCAGTTTGTACAGTTTGTTCACCTGCCATCGGACAAAGGCATCGTAGTAGGGATTAGCTTTTGTTGTCAAGAAGGACCTTCGCCAATCTATACGCGAGCCGAAGGCGTTGTTGTCGTTCTAGATGTTTTATTAACTGCAGTGTGGCATGTAGAATAGATGATAACTCACAATGGCAATGGGAGGGAAGTAGGTCAACCAATACAAGGGATCCGCAAACTTCTTGATCTCGGCTCTTGGTACACCGATGGACTCCATGATTTGGAACTGGTAGGTGAGTCCTGTTGACTTGGCCACCAACTTTCCCTTCTTCGCCTTGCTCTTGTCACCCGCCGCCGCCTCTTCCTTCTCCTTCTCCGCCTCTGCCTCCGCGTCTATCGCCGCTTGCACTTGCTCAAAATTCTCGAAATCAGGTCCAAACAACTCCATTTCGCGAATAATTTTGTCCGATGACGCCTACCCCACCCATCCTCAGCGCCGGTAAAAAAAAGGTACATAAAAACGCACCTTGATAGGCATCCCCGTAACATGGAATCCATGCGGGAATAAGACACGCTTGCCCAACATCCGCTGGTACCCCGCTGCAAACTCGATTTTGGAGATGGTAAACGCATGACCCAAGTGCAAGCTGCCATTCATGTATGGGTATGGAAAATTTCCGAACCATTTCGGGTATTTCGCCTTGACTTCCGCGGAGGAGAGGCCAGCTAGCTCTGCTGGAGGAGGCGCGTTGACCTCGAAGAGACGTTCCGATTGCCAGCGATCTTGATACTGTTTCTCTAGTGATTTTAGGTGATCTCGTTTGCCGGTCTGTGTTGCGATGAGATGAGGGTAGAGAGAAGCGAGAAAGAGAGGAGACGAACCTGGGCCAGCTCAATAGTCTGTGCCATTTTTGGAGAGCTGTGGTACGGTCGTCTTCTAGTGAGTGTCCAAAGACTGGGCAGTCTTGTTGGGAGGAAGGAAAGAGCGGAAATCGTGAATCGATGTATCTAGTCAATCAGTGTGCACTTTTCTTGTAATTTGAGCCGAGTCATATGGACAACGTCGATGAAATTTTGTTGGCAGTAATCTTATCTTATCTATAAGCTACATCCTCATCTAATCGCAGTTACTTTCAACCATCATGCCAGGCGCTAATTACATGGGCGGAAAACGGTACTCTCCCTTTTTATTCATCCAATACAATTAACCCAACCATCTTGAAGAAATGCGGCAAAAGCACGAACGAGGGATGTAGTCGGCCGACAACAGAAAGGTTTCTTCGGACGTCAACGTCTCAATATTCTTTCCAAGGGACTTCAAACATCAACACCCAAGTTATCAAGAGACGCGCCAGATCCTCGAGCAAAGGAGGAAATAACACTGGCTCATGCGCATTTGAACCATATCCCAGAGCCACCAAGCCCCATGACATCGACGCCTCCACCTAGGAAAAAGCAGAGACTGCTCATGGAAGCGCATACATCGAGCTCTGGAGAAAGTGGGAGCAGCCGAAGACAGTCAAAGGTGCTTGATGCATTAGATATAGAAGAACGTGAGTCCTCAGCTGCTTTTATTGTCGTTCCATAACGGAGGCTTGCAAAGCAATGTTCTTGCGGGGCATGTTGGACCGAATTTTAGCTATGCCTGATCTGGCCGGGCTCCCCAGCGTCAGGGAGGCAGAGAGGTCGATGCCTAAGCAAGTTGCGCCTCGAGGGAAGAAGAGACAAGTGCGTGTTTTTCATATTCGCGATGGGTGCAGCTTGACTTTTTCTCCAGAGAACGCCTTCTCCTTTAGGCGTCCAATACTCTTATAGACTATATGGGAATCGGTCTTCTTCACCCGTTACTTCTACCATGAACGAGGCATTGACGCACGAGCAGACGGATATGGGAGAACGAGCGCATATATTCACGGAGTCTGTGCACAGTACATCGTCGAGAGGAACATATCAATCGTCCAAACACGAGAGCGTGCAACCAGAATTCGAGGAAAACCAGCAAGAGGAAGAGAGCGACTTCAACGACAGCGGTTATGCCGAGCTCGAATCAATAGAAAATGGCCACGAATCCATTTTGCCTCGCTCCAGTTCCCCTTGCTTCTCTGGCTCCCCTCCCGAAAAGAGCTCAGCAGAGGGTCGTGCCCTCCAAGTGTCGTCGTCTCCTCGATCAAGGCGAGCGGAGACGGAACCTTTGGTGCACTATAGCTCATCCACCTCTGAGCCTTTCATGTCAGACGAAGTTGATTTGGGTGATTCATGGTTGCCTTCTGTGGTTAGTCTAGAACCACGACGAGCTGGATCTTGGCCTGCTTATGGTTGCTTGTTTGAGCAAGAGGATCCATGGCGCACCATCGGTCTGATTCTTGGGCTTCCGGAGTCTATGCCAATGGTTGAGGAGATGGGCTTTGAAATGAACGTTGATGAAGATCGGGATGTCGTCCTGGAGATGGACAGGGTCACAGACGACTTTTATCTCGAAGAGTTTGGAGATGGTGAGGAGAGTGTGTCGAGATCGGCCGAACCTGTGATTGCGAGAGTGCAAACTCCACTGGAAGTGGGATCTCAGGATAAATCAGTCATCGCAGTCGCGGAGCTGCGAGAGCTTGACGGAAAATTTTTAGGACCTAGTTTGTTCGTGGAGGATGATAGCGAAGATAACTGATTCGAGTCATAAGTGCGTGGGAAAGGAGCCGAACGTGACAAATGAGTGACACCGCCTTTTCCGCTTGCCTTTTGTCCGCTTTTGTCGCCACACACCTTGACCACAACCACTCAATCGCCCAGCTACAGCAGCTGCGGCATTCATCTAATCTCTCTTTCGTCCAATCCTTTCTTGCTCCATTCACGTCCACCACTCCAATGTTCTCCAGTCCCTCTCCAGCACCGGGCTCACGTGCACTAGCTGCCAACGCCCTTCGCAGTGCAGGTCTCATCGACAGAGACAGAGATGCCACAATGCGCGACGCAACCGACAAGCCTGGCGGTCGGAAAGGCTCATCCAAGATTCGTTCGCACCGAATACGCCCGATTGACGCATTCAAAGATGGCGCCGGTCCAAGCCACAGGGTAATTATAACGCTCATTTCTCTTACTTTCTGGACAGGGAAGGGCACCTCGCACACATTGCTCGGTCCTGTCGCCATCCCTCCTCCCCCCTTTTAATCAGAAGAATGACCAGGAGCTTACGCATCCCTCGAATATCTACGCAGCTTTCATCACGCATATCTACCTCAACTTCCCGTGCTGGTCCCTCTGACCCTTTGTCCATCCACGGTGCTGCACGACCCACTGCGGCAGGGCGCATACGCAGGAACGCAATCTCCTCCAATTCACCATCCGGCATCCCAGTTCGCATCTCATCATCAGGAAAGTCAAAGCAAGCGGTCGAACATTGGAGAGAACTTGTTCGAAAGCGCTGGAATCCTGAAGAACGTTTTCTGAATCTTGAGGTAAGCTGTTTGCCGTGGTAGTCGTTGTCAACCCTATACTTCGCAGCCACCTCCGTCTGTTTTTGTACATCCGTGACTCATTAATATATCTTTCAGTCGATGATTGAGGATGAAGTCGTGAAGAAGTACAATCTTACACCACCTGGATCCGGAAATGGATCCGCTCGTGACGCTGCGGTCATCTTTAAAATTGCGAGTGAACTCAAGCCCGAGGTGAGACACTTTTGTTCGGTGATTCTCTATGGTTTCTTACATCAAATTGTCAGGTGAAAACGCTGTCACTCGCCGGCAACAATATGACCGGAGTGCATTTGACGTTTCTAAGCAGATACCTACCTCGACTTGCGAACCTTTCCTTGCAAAAAAACAATATCTGTGCATGGAAGGATCTGGACTATATTTCTACACGGAGGGATAAGTTGGTTCATTTGCGGGAGTTGATACTCCTGGACAACCCAATTCGGGATTTGGAATTCAAGAACGGTCGTGGGGATCGTTACAAGAGGTTGGTAGGCGCCTTTTCAGAGTGATGCTTTACTTATCTTTGAGTCATTAGCGAATTGTGTCGGAGATTTACTTCGTTAGAAGTGCTGGACCAGGAAGCCATCACCCAGATATCCTTCGACGTACCACAGCCATCGGTTACCAAGGCTGACGTTGTAAAGCCCACATCGACAACATTCCCATGCGAGATGGGTCCATCTTTCGTTACGGGCGTTGATGGATCCATTGTCAGCACTTTTCTGGTTCGGTAAGTTTCCTCAACTTTGCTCTTTTGTCCTGAGCTCATGTCTACACAAAGCTTTTTCAACATGTTCGATAATCAAAGGGAGGCTCTCATCAATGCCTACGACCCATTGGCTACCTTCAGCTTTTCGGCCAACACCGCAATACCCATACGCGCGAGAATTGAAGGATTCCATTCATCACGCAACATGCCGAATCAGAGAAAGTTGGAGTGGGGGACGTGGTTGACTGGAGGCGCTGGTGGATCGAGAAATCTCAACCGGATAACTGGAGGGCTAGACAAGGCGGTGCAGAGTTTGCATATCGGCGGCGAGGCAACGGTGAAAGCCCTCGCCAATCTACCTAAAACTAGGCACGACATTGGGGGTCCTCCCGAGAAGTTTTGTTTGGATTCGTTTCCTGTTGCGCATGGTCAAGGAATGGGGTTGTTGTTGACGTTACATGGGCAGTTTACGGAAGGTACGTTAAGGATTTGGTGAAAATGAGTGATGTAGATTGACGTGGGTGCTGTTCTTTTTGTCTCGGACAGTCGGTACGGAAGGTATTAGATCATTTGATCGTACGTTCATCCTGGCGCCAGCTGTGGAAGGGTCTAGGTGTGTTCGCTTTTTCCTCATATATCTGAACTTCTTCGCTCATATTCATGCGTTCTCTTCTTCCTCGGCTTCCAGTGCGAAGCTCAACGGCTGGGATGTGGTGATTCTCTCTGATCAATGGATCATTCGTGGTTATTCCAGTCATGAAGCATGGAAGCCTGGCCCGATGTTGGTACAAGCAGCGTCAAAGCATTCGTCCACCATCAATGCCATAAACGCCACTGCGCCCGCTCTGTACGAACTCGAGTCATTGCCTGTCGATCAACAGGCCACACTTGCGCTCATGGTACGTACCTCTCCCCCACATTCATCCCCGCCGACGTCTGGTTTACCTTTTACCTCCTATACAGCCTGAGATGCAACGTAATCTAGTGTTGCAGACAATCGCACGGACCGGGTTAAACGTCAAGTTTTCTGTTGACTGTTTGACAGGTAATGGATGGGACCTAGAGAGGGCGGTTGCAAACTTCAATCAGGTCAAGGTGGGCTTTTAGACGTTTCCTTTCTCACCACTGTCGGTTTGCTGATATTTTTGCTTAGGGAACGCTGGCCAGGGACGCATTTTTGTAATGCGGCGCAAGAAGGCAGATGGGAAAGCGTTCGACTATGTATGCCATGACGAGATGGATTGGCATGAAATTCTATCCTATCGTTCCGTCTCTGGGATTCTTCAAGTTCGTCGATCGGACTATCAATATCTCATCCGCGCGCTTTTCTTCTGTTCGAATTACCTTTAACCTCCATCTACACTTCTAAATTCCCCCCTCAACTCCAATGTAACATAATACAATAACACGATACATACAATACATATTATGGGTCACCCCCCATTCATCACCATTTTTTGCATATATTCTCGGCCAATGTGTTCACTGTGTGCTCAGTTCACGCAACAATTGAATTTGATGAATATGGCATAGACCGGTCTCCCAAATTATCTCCTTCAAGCTTCAGATATCAAGTCCGCCCGCGTGTTCGCTTCTGAGGAGGGTTGCAGCAGTTATTCAATTCAATATGTCGGGGGTGAACAAAAAAAAAACAAGTTCTTTGATTTATTGGAAGAAGCGCCGGCGCTTCCATATCTTGTCGCGTGAGTCAGGGAGCCAAAGTAAATTTGCGAAAACTCCCAACTCCGATCTTCACCATTTGGTATAGGCCTTGTCCGCCTATTCGAAAGGAATACGCTAGATTATGGAGCCTCGCGCCGGTTGGAACTTGGAGGGCGTATGTATGATTGGTTTGGACAACGACGATCTTATCACACACACCCATCCCTTCATCTATCTATATTGACAGCATGTCATCTAGCTTGTTGAATACTAGTAATATAGTGAAGATATCGATATCGATATCATGGAAATCTCCAAGAATGTCCCAAGAATATCTTAACCCTTCAGATTTCCTTTCTCGTCAGTGTGCGGACAAGCGCGCAATGAGCGTCAGCGTCTCTCCCCCAACGCATGCTCGCATTTTGCTTTTGGGCAAAGGGGTGAGGATTCCAGGAAACGGGGTGACGGCGAAATTGACAGGGAAAGCGGTGTGCTTGTGCGCCTCGAGGCCCGGGCCAGGCGGGATTTTCAAATGTCGAAATTGGGCGGAGGATCGGTAGGGAAAAATTGGGACATACGGAGCTTCCAAAAGCAATCGAATTGTTGTTCCTCTCCCCTGCCCTTTTCTGATTGACATGCTCGGTCCTGTGCTCATTGAGGACCAAGCAGTTGGATTTTCACCGCCAAAAAGCCTCGTTGCATTTAGCCCATTTTCTCCGCGCCGGTGGGTCCCTCCGTCCCTTTTTCTCATATTTATTATGTTGGCCCAAATCGACCCCAAGCCTCGAGGTGATCCTCTACCTTGTCCTCACGGTATTTCTTCTCCCTCCCCCCGTCAACTGTTCCGCCCGCACCCCTTCACTATCACGAACTTCTGAGCTATAAAGAAGAAAGCTTCGTGAAATCCGTCATCAACGCGTTCTTCTACTTCTCCGTCTCATTCAGCATCTCTCTCGCTCTCTTTTACTCTTACTTGCTTAGACTGTCTTTTGACTCCATCCTTTCGCGACAATCTCTTCTTTACATGGACACCAACCAACATTCTTTCGAAAATTTCGGTCTACAACGCGCTGCGGCTGCGGGCGACGATGAGGGCGTTCGTCAGGCTCTTCATTCAGGTGCGGACGTGAACGCCTTGACCATTGAGGGGAAGACGGCGCTTATGTCTGCCATTGCTGGAGACAAGTACGTGTTTTTCTCTTTGATTCTGCGCGACATGGTTATCGAGCAGTCATTGTCCTTCCAGCTGGGAGAATCTCGACGCGTTTAACGCGTCTTTCATGACTTCCAAGCGTCTAGACGCCATACGCGTCATCCTCAATCACCCTCATATCTCGCTACTCACCCTCAACCTACCTCACCACGCTATGAACGGGACTATACCTCTTGGCATGGCTGCTTGGCTGAACATGCCCGAAGTTGTCCGTCTTCTCCTTGAGGAAAGCGCTGATTGCGTTTCTGTGGATGGGATGGATTGCCACGGTGCGACAGCTTTGATGTGTAAGGTTTATTCTTTGTCTCTGATTTAACCCTACTTTTCTGACCTATACCTTTTTCAGATGCTGGTCGTGATGGTGGTCTTGACGTGGTCCAGATCTTGGTATGTTTTCCTATGTACCCACTTGACCCTTGCGCTCATATCCGTTAGTTGTCCCATGGAGCACGCCCAGACTTCAGGGATCGCAATCACCGCACATCAATTCAGTTTGCTCTTGCCCACCCTCAGATTCTTTGGTTATGCGAAACCGTTTTACGTCGTCATAGACGGCAAGAAAGTCAAGTGAGTCATCGCTTGCTCCTCGTTACTTTTGCCTTGCCGACACTCAGTCTAGTCCGCGGATCGAGGAAAGCTGTTCTCGGAATCCAAGCACATTTTAGACTTGGCAAGCGCGGCGGCACCTTCATCCGATGATCTCGAACCTCCACAACTCTCTATCTTTACGAACGAAGCAACTTCAAGGTTGACCAATACACTCATTTCTTCCATCCGCACATCCGACCTGTCCTTCATTCATTCCATCCTTTTCTCTCCTCCCTTACCTCCGTCGGCGCATGCGGCCTTGTATCCGATGTCCGTTCCCGCTCTCGTAAACCTTCCCGATTCGAAAGGCTGGAGTCTCATCCATCACTGCGTCGCCGTGGAATCCCCCTCCATCGAAATTCTAGACACTTTGTACTATGCAGGAGCCGATATGGCCCTATTCACAACTCACGAACAACGAACACCACTGCATATTCTCGCGCAATCAGCACCTGTACTTTCTGGTCAACCAGACCACGCACTTTCTTTGTATAATTTTGTTGTACATCTCCTCCGCGACCTCCGTGCCCCCTTTTCCGCTAAGGACAAGTGGGACGAAACTTGTATCCACGTTGCCGCCGAACACGGCAATTGTATCGAATTGTTGATGTTTTTCCTCGATTTCGATTCCACTGGTTCTGTTCGCGAACAGAAAAACTCTCGAGGGTATGTGTTATGTCTTATTCCAAACATGACTGTCTAATTTATGATCTTTTCATAGGTTGACGGCCTTGGAAGTAGCAAAACCCGAATTCCTCATCGCTTTTGGAGAAAATGCTGAAAACACGAGATCTGTTTCCGCTCTTTCCAACTACACCATTAAACCAACTGGTTCCTTCGCGTCACTTGCCTCATTTTCCGGATGGTCAGACTTTATCACTGTACAAGACGACACTGCATCACTTTACACTCCTTCGTCTCTCGACGTGGCCGTCACAGCTCAACTGGTTCTCTCTAACCTTCGTCGAACGTCCCCTATTGGTCGACACCACAATGACCCTGCTTACCTTGCTCAACTAGACGAGCTCCTGACCGAAACTACTCAACAAAGCCAAACGCTTGTGCAACATTTTCGCGACAAGGCAAATGATGCTCTCAAGGAGATTGCAGAGCTGCGCAAGAGTGCAGAGCGAATCGACGCGCTTAGGAATGCAGTGTCCCATGCGGCCAGGGGCAAACTCGCCGTGAGAGGTATCCGCCCCATTCCTCCCAAAAAGCGATATCGCGATTCCGAGGATTCTCAAACAACTGCAGTTTCTACGCTTTCTGAGTACACAGTCGATTGGGTCCCTGCTTCCCCTCATGCTAACGATCGTCACGACGTTGCGACCCAAACCACTCTCCTTGACGTCCTGAATATGAATCCTAGTGCGACTTCCCGCTCGAATCCGGCAGCCTGGACTTCCTTCCTCGAGAACTTTGTTCATAATGACGATCCATCCATGTACAAGTCTTACCTCGCAGGCCTCTGGGAGGTTAACCGTGAACTTGAGGAACTCGAGGAGAAAGTGACGCCTTCAGACATATCTGGTCATGACTACGGCTCTACAAGATCAACCATCGACTCGCGAGTGAAGCATCTTTTGAAGAAAAAGAAGAAGTTGGAGGACAAGCTCAAGGAATTGGAGTCGGAGCAGAAGGGGGAGAAGAAGGGGACTTCAAGGCTAAAAGCTTGGCTCAAACGGGTCGTTCTTCCCGTCCAACATCAGACCAAGCTTGAACTGGTTCTAGACGTCGACGAGGAAAGGTGCAATGTGGGGAGGGAAGTGTCCTTGCCCAGGAACTGCCCGCTCGCTCAGGAGGCCTTTGATGCGTCCATCGATGGTGCTCTGAGAACGTCACAGTTGGTCCTTCACTCTGCATGGCGTGACTTGAAAACAGTTCAAGATTGCCTGGCTTCCGTGAGTGCATTATATCAGATCTTTCGTTCAGTTGCTCATCATCATTTATGCAGGCCGAGCAACTCATCGAGTCTGCCAATAGCTTCATCACCAGGGCTGAGCGTGTAATTAAAAGGGCGGTTAAGGTTAGTCATTCCAAATTCCTTCCTGCTGGTCGCGTTGTTGAACTTGGATATTAGAAACGAAAAGCAATGCTCGCCAAACTCCGCGCGTCGGAGGCGGGCGCACAATGGGCTGATGGTGACATCGTCCAGCAACAAGATCTAGATGCGGGTTCCCCTGGTTTACTTGGATATTCCAACATCATCTCCTTGCGTCCGAGTTTGGCGTCGATTTCTTCCATGCAGTCGACTTGCTCCTCCATCGTATCCGTCGCTGCGACTCTCACCGAGAACGACGATGAAGATACGCGCATTGTTCGCCGCTTGCTGTTGAGGAAAATTGAAGCCCAAACGTCTGGGGCGTGGGATGAGGTTGAGAAAGTCGTTGGTTGGCTGAGGGTAGTCAAGGAGGTCGTTCGTGGCATCAAGCGAAGAGCATACCTATAAGGATGCTCGGAACAATGAACTGAACTATTAGATTGTGACATTAGTGTACCTTTATTGTATTTACAAAAGTAGCATACTGTGATACGAACCCTCGATCATCATGTACATTACCATCTGCAGAGAATGGGAGGTTGATGCTCCTGAGCAGCCCAGCTTTATTACACCAGTCATCGACGTTCCTTGGTATCGAATATTGGTGCGGAGAGTAACTCAACTAAGCACGCTTTAACGTGCTGGGGGCAAGAGTTGTAACGTGTCTAGCTTATTCTACTTCGTTCTCCACACTATCGAAGATGATATGACCATCCTAGACGCCATATCGAACTATGACGGCTGCGATTCCAACGAGAATGACCACCAGCTCTTGGTCGTATACGATGTCGTTGTCGAGGAAGTCACCACCTCTCTCCCGGGGCCTGGCATTGGTTAAGTAGTCTGTATGCCTCTCGACATTCTGGCGGCATCTATCGTGATGAATGGTCGGCATTGTCGCCTATGCACCATGTGTCTTTTTGTGTCAAGTTGCGCTCAATCCAAGTGGGCTCAGTTTACTTGTAGCATGATGTTCGTCTCCAGGGCAAAAGTGACCAATGAATGACTGTAAATAAGTAAATCACAAGAAATCTACTCGGGAAGTACATATCTTCAAACCAATAACACCGTGTCGTTTTTTATAGGGCATCTCACTATCTCCGAAGATTTAGATGAGTCGTGTTCACTTGTAAATGTAACCAGCGAAGCATCAATCTTGGCTCGACTCGAAATTGCGGGGTTCGGTAGGCGAACTGTTCTCATGAAACAAAAATAGTCGACGTGTTGAATCGGTTATAGAAAAGAGTTGCAGAGATATGATCTAAAAACCACTGAACCAAAGCCAATGAATCAGATATTGGATTGACTTACCGAGTTCCAAGAAACGGCCGGACCGTGTTTCAATTACAATTTTCCTCAAATACTTGAATTGGCCTTCTCGATTTTTGGCCCACCAGCCTTCCAAGACACCACCCAAAAAAGCCTCCTCAATAAAGCATCCTGATTCTCTTAGGAGCGGACCAAGATCAGGGGTATGACAGTTCCCTCGTGACCACCAGACCAAAAGGCAGTGTGCAAGTTCATGCAAGAGGACGGCAATATAAGTAGCGATGATCTGGGAAGGGTGAATTCGTTTTTTATAGGGTGCAGCTTTCGGCATAAACAGTGGTTGGTAATGAACACTCAATCGTAAGAAGAACCGCCACTCACCGTTGATGGCTTTAGGCATTTTGCCAGCCGGTATGCAATTTGGATGTTACGATCACAGGAAGCATTGACGCCTACGTTTGTGTTACCCAACTCAAATCCTGCACCGCCTTCAGAGGTTATTAATTGCACGTTCGGGAAGCGATGTGTGAAGAAGTAACAAATATCATCGTCGTCGGGACGTCGGGACTTAGCTTTATCAAGCTTTGGTTCCGCGTTCAGGGCCTGGTACATGTGATGGAGGAGGTTTAGGAAAGGTTTTCTGAGGGTTGCATTTTGGCGGAGCGAGTCGCGGACTGTCTTTGTGAGCAATACAATTGACATGTATCGCCCCGAAAGTGTAACATCTCGTGCACTATGTCCATCTTTTGCGATGATTACCTGGAAAGGCATGATAGGGAGTAGTGGTAGGATGTGATAGAGGCGAATAGGAGTTCTTCTGTTTCAAAGCTGACCTCAACCTGATAGGTGTAGTGGTAGGATGTGATAGAGGCGAATAGGAGTTCTTCTGTTTTAAAGCTGACCTCAACCAATGGAATCATGAACAATAACTCGCACCAAACAAGCTCAATCTTGGCCTGACATTCCAGGAAAGCCCTCCGCGAAACTGTGCGTGATGAATATTGAATGAGCCTATTTTTTCGTGTTGTAAAGCGTCCGCCCGTGTTTCGCTCGAAGGAGAGGGGCGTTCAAACATCTTGCGAAATTCGAAGTCTCGATACTGAATTTAAGAAGTGGTCAATATGATCTTGTACGGACACGATAGTTACCAGCTTACCTTGTAATCCATATGGAAGCCGTTAGCGACAGTATACGGAAGAAGTCTCGGTTCGGGAAATTGTGCCGTTACTGGCCTATGTATGGGTTAGATGCTGGTCCTGCTGCAGAATCAAATGGGATAAATTTCAATAGTTCAAAGGGGTGTCACGTGTTGGAATTGCCCCCCTTGGCCTCACGAAATCCTCTATTGAAGGTTACTTATCCGGGATGGTTAGTTTTGATCAGACTAGTCATCGACGTTCCTTCGTATCGAATATTGGTGCGCAGACTCAGTAACTCAATGAAGCACGTTTTTAGGCAACAGTTGTAATGTCACTACGGTGTTAAGCCATATTCTATACCTCGTCCTTCGTGGGCATCGAGGATGATATGGCCATCCCAGACGCCATCAAGCAGCCCGCTCGTTCCACATCCACACCGTCACGCCTGGGTGGAACTATGACGACTGCGGTCCCAACGAGAATGACCGGAATGACCGCCAGCTCTTGGTCGAATACGATGTTATTGTCGAGGAAGTCACCTCCTCTCTCCCGAGTATGTTTTCTTCCCCTCACGTATCACTACCAAACCCTGACTTTCTTCAGGTACAAGTTCATCATCAGCGACATCGCCCAAAAAATGGAAAACGGCATGGCAGACTATGCCCACAAAGCAGTTGCAACCACCACCGGCTCCATCTACCTCTCCACCATCTCAGAACACAATCTCTACTGCCACTACGTCGCCGACCTCGTCGGCAAAGGCCTCTCCCGCATCTTCTCGGCCTCAAAGAAGGAGGTCTTGGCTTGGCTCCCAACTCCAACTCTTGGTCTCCTCCAAAAAACCAATATCATCCGGGACTTTCGTGAAGGCGTCGATCAGCAACGGTATTTCTCGCCCCGCGAGATTTGGGGAAAGGAGGAGTATGGGTTTAACAAGATGGAGGACCTTTATGAGCCTGCAGCTTTGGAGTAAGCGACGTGGGCGCAGAGCAGGATGGTGCTGGATGCGTTGAGGCATGCGTGTGATTCGTTGGATTATCTGATTTTGAAGAACCAGAGCGTGTTCAATTTTTGTGCGATCCCGCTGACGATGGCGATCGCTTCGCTCGAGTTGAACCCTGCGATGTTTCAGAGCAATATTGAAATTCGGAAGGCTACTGCTGCTTCGGTGCGTGTTTTTTCTTCTTTTCTTCTTCTACTTCTTTACTCATTACCCCGCAGTTCTGGGAACCCCCCTAATCTTCCGCCATTACGCACACAAGATCCATGCAAAAGCAGGCTCTGAGGATCCTATTTCTTCGGATATTAGTAGCCTGCGGAAAGGTACGTCTTTCCTCCTTCCTTCCTCCCTCCCCCCCTTCCCTCCTTGTCTTCCTTCCTTCCCCCCCCTCTCCTCCTTCCTCCTCCTTCTCTTCCTCTCTCTTCCCCCCCACTAACCCACCCTTCCCTCACAGATCGAACAACAATCAAAACACCACTACCTCCTTCATCCACCTCGACTCCCAACAAGGCGACACATCACACAACAGTAACGCTCGGCGCACGTACCCGCATCATATCACTCGAAAAAGCGTTCGACGCACAGCTAGCAAAGAAGAGGCGCGTTGAGGATTTGCGGAACGGCTTGTAATTGGCTGCTGCGGGTGAGCGGAACGGTCTGGCTGGCTGTGTCAAGCGGGGGGAGGGAGATACGACTGTACAGCTTTTCGGTGTTTGTTTTATTCTGAAGTTGAGTGGGGAGGGGAATGAGGATGTTTTGAAGCTGAAGTGGGTGTTTGGGAAGTAGGGTTGAGTTGGCGTTTGGGAAGTAGGGGAAGGGAGAATGGGGAGAATCTATAATAGCCTTCTTATACCATAATCCATTTCGTTGGACGTTGTTGGTTCGGTTCATTCCTGCGCATTTACATACGCGTTGTTGGTGCTGTAGTGATGTTATCCGTGTTTATTGCATTTGGACACTTGACCTACTAAAACGATGCAAGTCCCGGAAACTAGTCTTCTCGAATCTAATTTACAAAAACGAAATCGTGTTCAGCTCACCTATGGCATCTTTCAAACGGGGAAGCACGAGTTCAGCAATCAGCAAGGGTATGACTACTGTCCAGGCCGACAAAATTTCCACACCAGATTATGAGCCAACCAGGCTCGAACAGAGGACCTACAAACAAAACCCGCGTGCTTTCATGTTCGTCGCGGGCAAATTGGGTTCGAAAACCTACCATAGCTTAGTTGGGGGGTCTTTGAAATGTTTATATGTTGGAAGTTCCATTTGAGTCAAGGGGAACGAAGTTGTATGAAGGGGGAACTCGGAAAGTAGTATGAAGTGACGTCACTCCTTTGGCTGACTTCAATGTAACCAAACAATGGTGCTCATCCCAGCGCGCTTATCGGGCTTCTTCATCACTTCCACCATCTCAAGCGTCCCATCGAGAAATGTCTCTTTCCGGTACTGAAATCCAACCAGTGGAGGATATTGAAAGACAACGGAAACGAGCTCAAAGAGTCAGAGAGCGGACCGGGCGTTTTCGTGTCCTTATCATTGGCCGTGCCAATGCGGGGAAGACAACGATCCTCCAGCGAGTTTGCAACACAACAGAACAGCCGAAAATTTTCAATTCGGAGGGTGATGAGGTATTCCATGTTCTAGACATCATCATCTATCATTATTGATGTGGACAGATTGACTTCTCAACCCTCAATCCATCTGCACAGGTAATGTGGATCTACCATCACTATTACTTTTTACTGAAGTTGTGGCAGAGAGGGGAGCATGATATTGAGAATGAAATGATATTTGAGAGTAATGAGGCATTTGTCTTTCATGACTCACGTGGCTTTGAAGCGGGCAGAACATCTGAGCTTGATAAAGTTAAGGACTTTGTGCAAAAACGGTCAACCAACAAAAACCTCAGAGATCATTTGCATGTAATTTGGTAAGTGACTGAGTGGTAACATAAAGTGGATCTGAATCCATCCTGTATAGGTACTGCATCCCAATCAATGATGAAGCCAGACCAATCACAAGGGCAGAGTTGAATTTCTTTGCTGAGTGTGGGACTGGTAGAGGTATGTAAACTATTGATAACCTCTTGAATCTAACCTTTTCTTTTTGTAAACAGTTCCTGTCATTGTCTTGTTTACAAAAGCAGACATGCTTGATGCCCAAACCATTGAACACCTGGTTGATGCTGGAATGAATGTTGAAGATGCTGCAATTAAAGCTCCAGAAGAATCAGTTGCTAGGTTTCAAGAACAGTTTGGTCAGCAACTCTATAAGAAAAAATATCCCCCCAAGGAACATGTATATTTTCGAGGTGTAACAAATTCATTCATTGGTAGTCAACAAATTAATTTTATTCAACAGACATGCAAAACCTCACAAGTGACTGCAGTGAATTGCTGAGGAAGACAGCGGCTACTCTCTCAGATGATACAATCTTACAGCTTTTTCTGACAGTGCAGAAAAATAATCTGTCTCTGTCAATTAAATATGCAATTACAAGGTAGTTTCTTCATGTTTAATTATATGAAGTTAGATTGCTGATTATCAAAAATGATAGAGTTATATTTCCAGGTTGGAAATTATTCAAAAGAAAGAGAGAGTGGATGGAGATAGTTGAAAATATATTGCAATATTTTCCACATATGGTATGTAAAAATTGCTTAACTATCCAAATGTAGAACAAAATGATATATATAAACAGAATGTAAGCCAATGTCTCACTGATCTCAACTAGATGTTAACAAGGATGTGCTTTGGTTATTAACAGAATGTAAGTTCAGATTTTGCTTGGACTGTTCTGGTGCTGACAAGAGCATGCTCTGGGTTTTGAACAGGTTGTAAGTCAGCATCTGGCTGGCCCTTCCTGCTTGTTGCTGACAAGAGCATGCTCTGGGTTTTGAACAGTATGTAAGTCAGCATCTGGCTGGCCCTTCCTGCTTGTTGCTGACTAGAGCATGCTCTGGGTTTTGAACAGGATGTAAGTCAGCATCTGGCTGGCCCTTCCTGCTTGTTGCTGACAAGAGCATGCTCTGGGTTTTGAACAGGATGTAAGTCAGCATCTGGCTGGCCCTTCCTGCTTGTTGCTGACTAGAGCATGCTCTGGGTTTTGAACAGTATGTAAGTCAGGATCTGGCTGGCCCTTCCTGCTTGTTGCTGACAAGAGCATGCTCTGGGTTTTGAACAGGATGTAAGTCAGCATCTGGCTGGCCCTTCCTGCTTGTTGCTGACAAGAGCATGCTCTGGGTTTTGAACAGTATGTAAGTCAGGATCTGGCTGGCCCTTCCTGCTTGTTGCTGACAAGAGCATGCTCTGGGTTTTGAACAGTATGTAAGTCAGCATCTGGCTGGCCCTTCCTGCTTGTTGCTGACAAGAGCATGCTCTGGGTTTTGAACAGTATGTAAGTCAGCATCTGGCTGGCCCTTCCTGCTTGTTGCTGACAAGAGCATGCTCTGGGTTTTGAACAGTATGTAAGTCAGGATCTGGCTGGCCCTTCCTGCTTGTTGCTGACAAGAGCATGCTCTGGGTTTTGAACAGGATGTAAGTCAGCATCTGGCTGGCCCTTCCTGCTTGTTGCTGACAAGAGCATGCTCTGGGTTTTGAACAGGATGTAAGTCAGGATCTGGCTGGCCCTTCCTGCTTGTTGCTGACAAGAGCATGCTCTGGGTTTTGAACAGGATGTAAGTCAGCATCTGGCTGGCCCTTCCTGCTTGTTGCTGACAAGAGCATGCTCTGGGTTTTGAACAGTATGTAAGTCAGGATCTGGCTGGCCCTTCCTGCTTGTTGCTGACTAGAGCATGCTCTGGGTTTTGAACAGCATGTAAGTCAGGATCTGGCTAGCCCTTCCTGCTTGTTGCTGACAAGAGCCTGCTCTGGGTTTTGCCCATGGTTTAAATAGCTAGTAAGTCTCAGCCTTCTTCACCTTTCATTTTACTAAGAATCATAAGATTGTGAGTTCACTTGTAAACTTTTTAGCAACACTTTTATGCTACTGTACTTCTTCAAACAGCCTGTAAGTAAATTTTCTTTTCTGTCCATTTTTCTTTTTTATGAATGGCAATTAATCTACATTAACTAAACCAATCACCATTTCTAGGTGGAGAATGTCCTCAATGATACAGACTGGCCTTTTGTAAATCTTCACTCATCACTGTTATTCAGTATTCTGACTACAATGTAATTCTCTCTAGAATGGCAATGTCAAAACCTTTGGAGATATTGCCTTCCTATGTATTGGTATGTTTTCATTTCTGACCACTCCATCATAACTACTACTTCACTGCTTAGTCACAGCTATCATTGCAGAGCACTCATATTTTCTGTGGAAACAAAAGCCTTCAGCATCTTCCGCCCCTGTCAAATTAGCCATTCAAAAGCTGAACTCATCTGTTGACTTGAATTATATCAAAACTGCCATTGAGAAGGCATCTCATCTTAAAACCCAGGATCAAAAGCATGCACTTGTAAAGATTGCTCTGGAAAATTGTCTTTGTGAGTCTCTAACCCTTCAAGCCTTCCAAAGTCATTTTCTCATTTATTTACTTTAGCTTTATAAAAATATCAAATCATCCTTCCACCATTATGATACTTTTGCCAATTGTTCTTAAAAAAGATTGTGTTATCTAATAAAAGCAAAGTCAAGGATGGTAAAATTCACTAGCTTTTCCAGTTTCCAGGTTTCTACAGGTGCCTACTGTGATGCAAACCCTCATCAATCATATATATGCTACCATATGCAGAGAATGGGAGACTGATGTTCTCAAATCATCATCACACCAGTCACCATCAATGGTCCTTCAAATGCCACGAAAACAACTCTCGACATTGATAATGGGTATCTTCGGCACTAAAACATAAGGTAAGAATTACATTGCAGACTGCCATAATTGAAAACATACCGAGGGGCATGAACCGCAATAACACTATTCCCTATTCACTTGTGACATTGCAGGCAGCTGCGACGATATATATTATCAGCACGGAAAATGAGGTTTTGGACAATCGCAACCCACATCCGACTATCAGTCACCTTGACCCTCTTGCTCTGCAACACCATCAGCTTTCTCGAAATTTGATCTTTCCTCGCTTTGCTGATCTGGCTAACAACCTTGGTGTCGAATATTGGCGCACGAAGCGATTCTATCAAAAACGCTTTAACGTCCCGGGTCGTAACCAGAGGAGGTAACAGTTGTAAGGTCTCTACGGCGTCGAGTCGAGGATTGTGTCGACTGATAAGGTCGAGAGCGGGCTGCAATAAGTCTGTTGACGTTTCGACCGTGGGTCGCAGATAGATCCGGCACAATGTGAGGAATACACTGCTTGATTCTGTGCCAGGTTGATAGACACGTTTACAGTACCTTGTGGCTGGTTTGTGTAATGGGTAAGGGAGATAAGTCATTGGACTTACTGTTCCGCTTTCAAGTAATCGTGTAAACGGTAGACGTACAGCTCGAGAGCTTGGTCATGCCGCCCCAGTCGCCCGAGAAGGATGGCTCTCGCTTCATAGAGATCTGAACAGAAAACTCAGTTTTAATTGACCAACAGAGATCAGAAAGGGTGTTACCCGTAGACGAGAGCAAACCATACAGCCTATCAACACCAAATCGATCGTTTGTATCCACAAAGCTGAGTAGTTTTGCGTACGCTTCCTTTCGTGTTTCTAAACTGAGAGGTTAGATCAGTCACCAGAAATCGACACAAGACTTACTCTCGTCACCTCTCTTCCCCGCAGTAACCGTCATGCTGAAGTAAAGCTCTGCTGACCGATCGTGGAACGCAGGATTCTCTTCTTGCTTGTCCGCAATGACATATTCAAGGTATTGGGCCGCCAATTTCGGGTCGATCTTCTCCAAGTAATCTGTAACGGATTGTCGTGGAAGTTCTACGTCTTCCGATGTAAATATCTACGCCAAGTTGAGGACATTGTTGGAGTGGAAAGAAGTCGAATGCGTACCCTGAAGGCGATATTCTTATCCATGCTAAAAACCCATCTTGATGACTCGAAAATCTGCTTAATATGTTCAGGGCCCAGCTTTTGCAAGTACGTGATAAAAGGCTCCAGCTTGTCTTCCATGTCTGTCTCCTTTTCACTCAATCTATGTCCTTTCCTTAGAGAAAGATCGGGAGCGAAAAGCATGGTTGAAAACTCACTCTCGCAAGAGACCCAACGCCTTTGAATGCATGCCTTTCCCATGATAAAGGTCCCTAAGTTCCGCATATTTCTAGATAAGAAGTCAACGTCCAACTAAATCCGCGCAATTGCGATGACGACAAACCTGACGCGCCCTCAAATCCTCCTCAACCTCACACCAATTCGCAATGCGGCACAACAAGCTCAGCAAAGTCGGTCGAATGATCAAATACGATTTATAGAGCGCCGTGTCCACGATCTGCGCGAACCGTAGAAGCTGTTCGGGAATGAGAGCGGATAAAGGCGCGTTGGGTAGGGCAAACAGGTCTTCGACGGTGGTAGTTGAGAGCGGTGGGTATTTCTCCGCTTGGGTCTGAGGTGTGATGTTGACGACTTCTAACGCAGCTTTGAGCTTCGGTCGACGATCGGCTAGGTAGCGTACAAGTGTTTCGACTGATCGGTGGAGATCATCTACTCGGGTCAAAAGATGAGAAAGAGTTATGGTATTACCTGGGGGAAAAACTCACCGTGAAGAACGAATTTCCGTTTACCAATCACGGACGCTGTATCGTCGTCTTTAGCTGCAAACGGCATGAACATCCCCAACCCCGTCTTCCGTATTCGGCCCCCAAGAGAACCCGTACCACTGCTTATAGTGTCCAGCAGATCAGTGGCCGCTCTCTCATGTCCTAGCTTCTCCTTCTCAATGTCATCCACTTTAATTGAGTCTTGAGAATCATCCCGGTCGATGGGAGCAGGTCCTCCATACAATGGGATCCAAAGGACAGATAGTTGGCCTGCAACAGCATCGGAGTATAGAGCGATGACTTTGACTGGGTTGAAATCGAGCTCGATAAATGTATCAATGGCAGCGTCGAATTTGGAGTCACAGAATTGAGCAACGGCATTTAAAGCACGGATCGTTATTTCTCTTTGACCCTATGAGAATTGTTCAATGTCAGAAGTCTGGCAACGAAAAAAGGCAATGTCCATCCACCTTATCTGGAAGCAAAGTTTCGTCAATCGTATCAAGAAGCGCCAATGCATCGGAGTATTTTCCCGCAAGCACCAACTTGTCGATCTGCTCTGACCAAGACTTCATACTAAACTGCCATATGGAACTGCCCTCAGCGGCAACGGCCGCACGATCCGTAGGCGTCGTCATCAATAAGAGAGGAAATTTGGCAGAGGAAGATGTTGTCATTAAACGTATTGCAGCGTTCGAAGGGTGAGGAACTGGGTGTTGTGGAGTTTGAAAAAGGGAACGGCAAGGTCTGACAGATTTGAAGGGAGACAGAGGACCGGATCTGGACGACGGCGGATGGTGTAAAGGATGGTTGGGTTTGGGTGGTCCCAATGGGTGGAGAGGCTTCAGCTGGGGATATTGGGACTGTTCCGGATGGAAGGATAGAGAATATGCAAGGACTGACGATGGCTATTGAAGGGACGCGTCAACGAAGGACAGAAGCTACGTTTTCGTGAAAGGCTAACCCAAGTCTTCCGGAGGAGCTGGCCATTCGATTACTGAAGGCCGTGAGACCTTCGCGTCTGGTCCAATGAAATGCCCATCGGCTTTTTTGGATGAGAAAGTGGAAGTCATACAAACAAAGTAGGAAAACATACTATCTTTAGCAATAAGCGCTTCTGAATCACCCGCTTGAACGACAGCAGGCTTTGCCTTTGCTCCAAGGCCAAGGGTCATATAGCCAGTCAGACCCGTCAAAGTACCCTTTGAGGATGTTACGGGGAGGGGGGTGACTACATCGACCGCAGTCATTGTCGATATCGAAAAAATGGCATACTCCGTTGACGAATACGCAAAACAAGCCGAATCGGGGTTCAAGAGCGTAATGACGCGAGCAGAGTATGGTAGAGACACTTCCTGGAGTGCGAGAGTTGAGAAAAATGCAAGTTTAACAAGCACAAAAAAGACACCCACCTTGGCTGAGGCTCCCCGTGATTCCAAGAATAGATGACGACTTTCCTTCGACACCCAACGACGAGCTGGGTTACTATTATGGGAATCGGCTTGGGATTGTTGAAATTGACATCTGGGTTTCTGTCAGAGTTCCCATTAGGATAGAGGTACTGAACGAGGGAATGAATGCCGAAGGAGAATGCGGTCTTGGCTTTAACCAACGGGGTGGGGATGGCGTTGGGACTCTAGCGGACCTATTGAGCTAATATGCACCCTAGTAATGGGAGAACGCACCTGATAGAAAGTTGACCTCCTTGATGAACCCCAGTTGTTCGATTGACTTTCTCACCTGAATTGGCACTGAATCATCGTTCGTTTCATCTGAACAGAGGACGTCAAGACCTGGAGGAAAGAACGCGTGGTTAACGCACTTGTAGCTTCATTGAGGCTATATATGTGCAAGTTCCCGGTTGCACTTCCAAGATTTACAACCTATTGGCTATAATGCTGTCAGCGAAGTATACGCATTCATTCCAAGTTTTGCTTGCCTTGAACGGCGAGCGAGTCAATCTTCTCTTTACAGACGGAGTCATCCAAGGATCATCGAGGGGGGCATAATGGTTAACGGGTCCTCGACCGCCGCAGGACAAGAAAAGGCAACTGCGTTCTACAGAACCGAACAACGACCATGACATCGCTCCTTGATCTGTTACTCCCACATACGCCTTTGTTCCCACGGTAAAGCCGTGCAAGAATCGAAGAAATATGGAGGGAAACATAGTCAGTAGCAAAGAAAAATACCACAAACCCAAGTCTCCGAGCCCCTACACGGCACAAAAGTACTCCCAACCCGTCCCAGCCCAAACCGCCAAACTGTCACACCAAGTGGGGGGCGCAACGCGTTCCCAACGGTCAAGCCGGCAACTCCGCCCACAAACCCCTTCCATCACAACGACCTCCTTCCTAGAGAATGCAGTGGGAAGAGTAGGGAGAATAGCCCAATCGGTTACCCACACGTCCCCAGCCAAAATCAAGAGCGTGCTAGTAGGCAACAAAAAGAGAGCCCTGGACGCAGAACGCGCAACCACCCCAACCCCACAGTCATACAGCAACGGAACACTAATTACAGGCAGTCAGCAAGATCCGAGCCAACAAAAGAGGTGGGATGAAGACATAGAATCGTCCGGAGACGAAGGGGAAGAAGGACAAATCGACCAGAACTCCATGCAAACGGACACCTTCAGCAACCTCGCAAACCAGGCCGAAGACCAAGCGATGAACCAAGACGAAAAACTAGATAACCTCTACCTCACCCTAATGGAGGCCGGTAACATCGTCCAGGAGCTGGAAAGCGGCGGAGAACTGGGCGGGGCGAGGGACAGCCAGAAGATCACAGGTTGTATGACGGGACTTAATAACGCTCTACTAAACCAGCCATATGCAGTCATCATAGAACAGCAGTCAGTCCTCATGCAAACAATACACCAGATCAGCATGACAATGACGG